ATCCAAATTTCAAACGAAACCGTTTGCACACATTTGTGTGTACAATCCAATACCAACGTATACAGAAGCGTATGTGATTCGTGTATGTGTGTTGTGCGTTCAGCACTGACAAAAGAATGTCAGTCAGAAATGTCAAAAGTAGGCTGTGTGTATTCACGTGGTATTGGAATACAATTGCCGCTGCCAATTTAATGTGTGTTTATTGTTCTAAAGAAAAGTGTTTATAAATCAACCGATAAATGAAATCGATGGAACACAGAATGAGAAGAACAGAGACAGTGAATTCGTGCGAAATTGAACGAAGTGCAGTGTATGTGGTCAACTGTAAGCTGAGCCATTGTTTGGAGGACGTGCTTTCTATGTTTAATAAAATGATTTTCGTTCTTATTAAACGCTGATCAAAGACATTTTGCTTGTTTTCTTTTCATTTCTTTCTTCTGCTTTGATTTGAATTCGTTTGGTTTTGTGTTGTTTATTCATTTCATTCCGTTTATTCTGCAATATGATCTTTGTCAACACATTGAAGTGTGAAGTGGCAATTATGTGCGGCTCGGCATTTTTGAAATGCATACACACATACACAAATACACATACACACACCGAAACAGCATCATGCTCAGCTAGAATCGTGATGATTGCTGAGTTTTTAAGACGCGTATTCAAATACGGCTAACTGTAAACAATATGAAAATTGTATTCTGTGTAAGTAGCATTTTAGCCGGCTAGCACACACAATCAGATTATATCCGAATAGAGAGACAGCAACGTCGGCAACAAGGCACACAGTGACATTTGACTGAAGTGAACTATCATCGATGACTGGTGCCCGCATGCGGTCAACCATAAAGACGGAAAGAAAACGAAATTGATTACAATCGACATTGCTGATAAATTTTCCATCATCAACCCAAAAACCACAACAACACAAAACAAAAATACACACAAGTAAGTATACATATATTCATTTTTACAACTGATCAAGTGTGCAACGACTTTTTTTGCTGTCGATTTGCAAGCCTGGCATAAAATTACTTTCAATTGTTGTGCAAAAGTGTGAAAGTGTCAATGAGACATTCAGCTGATGAATTTATTTTCATTCTTCCCTCAACGCAATTTCATCATCCGTATATCACCGTTATATACAGTACAAACTGCGCGAGAGAGACGCCTAATTATATATTGAATAGATAAAATTTGTGCATTTAACACCAAATCATTTACCTTTCGACTGAACACTAGATCAAACGTGTTATTTGCGCATACACATTTTTTTTTGTTGCCAACATTCAAATTCAATGCAAATGCAACGATTTCGTGACGAATCAATTGCTCCAATGGCAAATGGAGTTTTTGAATGCACATACATTGAAAAATATCGGTAGTTTTTTTTATACATCAACAATTCTAATAACTGAATGAGTTTTTGTTGCTATTTTTTATGTTGTTTGAATCGCAGTGAATTGATTTCTTTGAATCGACTTTTTTGTTATAACCAATATTTTTTTCGATTGATTTTCCCGCTTAGAAATCTGCCAACAATGGATTACTGCAATTTAACGCATTCGGAACGACCAGTGCACAAAATGCGACCGCGTACACCACCATTACCGCCATCAGTATTAAGACGAAGCCGAAGCCGAACTCGATCAAGGTAACCGTTTTTTTGTTGACATTTTTTTGTTGATGTTTTTTTTCTATTTTTTTTTTTGTCATGCAACAAATAACAGATCACCGAGAAGACGTTATCGTTCGCCGCCAGTGCCGCCACCACCATCAACCACTCATCATGATTTGTATCATCATCGTTCTCGTGACAAACACATTAATTCCTATGATGACCATAATCGCCATTCAAATTCACGTGTAAGCGATCAAACTCAATTCAATTTTGTTCTCAAAGCATTCAAAAAAAACCAACCAAATCACACATTGACCGAAGAGCAAATCAATTTTCAATTAGTGTGTCTCGCGTTAAGCAATTTTTTTAGTAGAATTTTAACAAATGATCAAAGCTTTCATTTCGAATCCAATGTCAATTCAATGTCAAAAGTGCAAATCGAACAAAAACAAAATCACGTACAAACAATTTTCACCTCCATCAAAAGTCTAATCAATCGCATACAATTCAGGCACGACCACATGAAAGCCGCTGCATTGGCATTTTCGGTTTGAGTGAACGGACATCGGAAACGGATATTCGTCGCATCTTCTCAAAGTACGGTTACATACAAGACACCATTCTTGTCATGGACAACAAAGTAAGTACCGTTTTTTTAGCTATGAACACATTCCAATATCTACGTTACACTGTTTAGATGAACGGAAATTAGAATAAGTGTTGTTGTTTTTCTGTTTCCAAAGTAACTTGCGACCGATTCACATAGCAGATAAAATTGTGATTCGTTGTCTTACTTTGGTAGAGTGAAAATGTACGATTATTAGGCGATTCGTTCGGAGAGACTATCGAATGTAATCGTAAAGGAATCGCACAACAGTTTTTTTTCATGAAATTTAAGTTCTTTTTTTGCGATTGAATACATTTGTTTTTTGTACTAAAAGACAGTGGATCAAAAAACTCAATAATTAATTCACTTTAATTTTGACATTTCAGACCCGTCGATCACGTGGCTACTGCTTCATTTATTTTGAAACGATCAAAGGTGCAGTCCGAGCAGTTGAATCGTCGGTCAATTTGAGGATCGATGGCCGATATGTACGTGTCGATTATTCAATCACAAGCCGACCACGATCTCCCGGCTCCTTTGATCGTTACAAAGATGCAATGAGCCGTTACAACAATTCACGTCATCGATTAAAACGACGTCCTCAGAGTCCATCGCCACCGCGACGTAAGTGTATTCTTTGTATTTTTATGATGAACGATGTTTGAATATCATTTATACATCGGATTTTCATCGTCATTTTATATTCTTGGAATTCTTTTTGCATTTTTGTCTTCTTCTCTAACTTTAAAGGTTATCAACGTTAACGTCGTGCTCATCATTCAACAGTTGAAAAAAGTGTCCAATCAATCAAAACATTCAAATCAAATTCATCATAAAGTGCAAAGCGAATATGAATCGATTTCATAATGAAACAAAATCAGACAAATTCCAAAAATGCCATACAAATATATATTTTTCTAAAAATATTTAATATATTATAGAATTTCTTTGAAATTTAATATATAATAATAAAAAACAATACAAATATGTTTTAAACGAATAACAACAATTTAGTTTTTATTGTTTTTTTTTTTATTAATTCTCTGCAATGACCCGCTTGAACTTGCTTTGGAAAGATTATTTGATGAATGTCGTGACGATTGTGTTTTGTTCCTACACTCGTTCACATATTTTCTGGATGATTCTCGTGGAAAAAAAACGTTTTTTTATTTTATTTAGTATCGATGCTAGGTTTGTGTGTAGAGCGTTGCAATAGCCGGATCTTCTGTTTCATAGATAATTAAAACATCACGGAATTTATCTAAAAGTTGTAGCAATTGTGAACGTCTGAGATTTTCAAAATACATTATTTCTTCGAGATGATGCTCGCCTTTGAAATAACCTAAAATAGTTGAGAATTTTCAAAATTACCGCATATCTCTTTATTGAAAAAATTTATTGAAATGGTTAATAGATTGAAACTAAAATCATCGGTCAAAGCAAAAAAAAAGAGAATGTCTCACTCACCGGCTTGATATAATTTAACCATAAGTGTTAAATCCTCAACATTTGATGCAGCTGGTAAATCTCGAACGGCACTTCGCTCCGGCTCTTGGAATGCCATCAATAATTCTTTAATTTTATCCTCATCTTCAACCGATGCAAGACTTTCACAATTCTCGGTGCTCATAGTGTCCGATTGACTAATGCTATAATTTGATTTATTACTTGAACTGGGCGCTCCCATATTATCGGAAATATTCGAATCGGCTGCCATTTCGGAAAATCGATCTTCGCTAATTGATCGACAGCCAGCAGTTTTTGGAACCGGCATCGGTTGACTAGATTCGATGCTCAGCAATGATCCAAATGCCTGTCCATTTTCATTGCCATTCAATAATTCCGTCGTTTCGTCAAGCGTTTCCATTGAATCGTCCAGTTTTGGTGGATTGATTTGTGTAGCATTTTCATTGTTGACGGAATTTGTGCTAGCAATTGGTTTGGCATCGATCGGTTTAATGCATTCACCATGATCGGTTGGCATAAATTGAACATATGTATGCAATTGCATTAGCAAATGATGTTGCAGCATCCAAAGTACCATTTGTACAAGTGTACCTTGTTTTGTGGGATATTGTAGTGGTGTCGTTAAATGGCCAATTGATGTTGGCAGTGAGAATTCACTTATAACCTCAAATAAATTCATCGAAAATTTGGCATAGAATTTTTCTGCTAGCGGTGAATGATTGTGCAACGGGGCATCGGGTGCAATTACATATACATTTGTCTCGCATAATGGATAGATAATGGTTGCTTTTGCCCAATAGACCAAATGACCGACCAATTCATATACGTGTTTTATCGCGAAATCAGCATCGGTCGCGATGTTTTGTAATGTTTTAAATGGATTATAAGCGTTCAGTAATTTGGTTAGCATTACAGCACCGGATGGTGGTACACAGTCTAGTAACTCAGTATAATCCACTAATAATAGCATGCCATGATACGGTTTCAACGATTTTAGACAGCGATCAATTGCTTCTGGTTCAACGACCACACCTTTTTTATGGAATTGATGCGCTTTTTGAGGTAAACAAAAACTTAGCGTTATAAATTGATTGATCGTTATATTTAGCAAACCCGTTGAACATAGATCTTGATAAATCTGAAATTTAGACACAAAAATCAACGTTTTTATTCAATTTGAAACAAAAAAGTTGAATTCAATAAATACCGTTTTGAGGCACAGAGCTAATGAAGATCGTTCTAAAATCTGATCGAATGCTGTGATTCCCTGCAATGAGCGTCCTTCTTCAATATTTTCGGCAACTTCGTCGTGCGTTTTAAGAATTAATTTCATTTCATCGGTTAAATAACCGACCCGATTCTCCTCATACACCAAGGCATTGCCCAAACGTTTGCTCAGCTCATAATAGCATTTAACAATTGAATAACTGGCCTGAGCGTACAGTGCAAATACAATATTTATCAAAATGGATGAACCACTTGGTTCTTCTTTGACACCTTTCGATTGCATAAGCGTTGGATGGGCCACAAAACGTACATCGTTCACTTTAAGCTCGAATTTTTGATTGCATAGTTCAGCTTTCACAGCAAATAGTGTTGATAACACTTCATCGGTGAAACCAGACAATTGACCTATGACATAAATATAAATTTATTAATGTCATTCAAGTATGAGATCGTGTTTTTCTTGTCTTTTTTTTATATTTTCTTGTGGTTTTATCAAACATTCACATAAAATTACCTTGATGGATGTTCGATGTTTGTGGCGGTGGACTTTGTAAAATATCCTCTTGTGCTGGTATCGAGTACGGATTTCGTCGTTTATTTTGCAAACATGGTTCATTCGATTCCATACAATACGGATATCGAAACAATAAGCGATCACCTTTACTATCCGATTTTACTAAAATTATACTCAATGGATTTACCTCCATTTTTTTTTCGCGGCTTTTCTACAAACGATCAAATATTTTCCCTTGTTCAGCCCTCCTTGTTGATCGATTGCACGCTAAATCACATTGTATTTGAAGTATAAAAGCGGCAATTGTCAAGATTATTGCATTTACGAACAATACTGTAACCGTGTGATACGTACAACTAATCAATATTGTTGTAAAAATTTGATTTACTTATTGGACCATCGCTTTTGTTTACACTTCGATAAGGTATTATTCCATTAAGTTTATCTCTCTATATATATAAATCGTCTGCTATATTATCAATTTTTGCGAACTGCTTTGTATGCTGATTGTAATGTAATGACGCTACAATGAACTGCGTAAATAAGTTTATTTAATCGGAAGTGATTCATTGCTCACTATTCAAGATCATGGCTCTAAATACATACTATCGCAAATGATAATTTCGAAACTATTTTCCAGTCTTCAGTTCGATATTTTGCATGCCGAACTCTCTCTTTTTCCTTTTACATTCAGTTTATGGGCAAATATTTTCACATTTAGTCCAATGCCATTCGAATTGAATTGAAAACCTCCGAAAACAACAGACACGTTACAAACAAAATTGTAATAACAAATTTACCAAAATAATGATAAAACGTAATGTCAAATTTTTGGTCAGATGTCAATGTCCATGAATTATTAGCGCCATCACATGGGGAACTTGAAAATTATCGTTTCAGAAGAGAACGGTTTTTTATTATTAGTATCATTTGCAAGTGATTTTGGAGATTTTTCTATTTCAAATATTCGAAAAACGAATGGAATCGACATGAAAAAGAAATGATAGATGTGATGATAAAAACATTTCATTTATTACGCATCAAACGCTTCATGCAATCCGCTTACGTATTTTTTATTAATTTTTTCAGCTTCTTTAAATGTTTTTTTGGCAACGTTTTTGTGCTTTCACCAATTTTTTGCTTGTCTGATGAAATTCATTTGCGAGTAAAGTAACTCTTCTTCCTCTTGTTTTCGCCAAATTTCTCTCTTTCCGGTACTTTTTCCTCCCTTCTTTGAGTAGCTTTTCTTCTTCTTCGATTTATCTATTTTCCTTTTCAATGCGTTATAAGTTATTGTAAGACATGCATCTTTTGAAATGTTAAAGATAAAATCGTCATTGTAAGTAGCCTTTCTCGGTAATATTGAATATAAAATAGTGTAACAACATTTTGATTGGGTTCATTGTATATGTTATAATATTATGTATGGTGGCGACACTTGCTAATTATCCAAGTTTTGATTCTACTTAGCTTTCATCAAAAACGAGGTTAAATTCGAATAAGTTGATTTATGACGAAGTTTTCAAAATATAATAGGAAATGTGGCATGACCAAGTCTATGCCAAAATTATACACCAAAGGTCGATTGATTCCTTCTTATCTCCAATTATTTCAATTTCACGATTATTTAAAATGTTATGAAACTGGACAACTATTGGAAGGAACCTTTTCCCTAGAGAGTTACTGTGGATGTGGACAGTATCCGTTACGCTTGATGGGATCAAGACAAATGTGTAGATTATTGACATGGACAAAGAACTCATTAATCTTAATAACCATTTAATTTAAACAGTTCAATATTGTTCAGCATTTGTAACTTACCCACAAAAATTATTCAATTACCTTATTCAGGGATTCATTTTCCCAGGGAAAGTACGGATAGAAAAAAAAGCTATATGTACAAATTGATTATTAAAGTGAGAATTTCGTTGTCAAAAGACTTTTCATTTCATCCATCCAACGATTTCCATTTATTGTTCTCAATAAATACCTTTCCACTCAGTTAGTTTCATGATTATTTTTTTTATTATTATTATTATTCACCAGTGATTTATTTTTTTTTAATTCGAAAAACGATTTCATGAAAAAAGAAATGTGAACAAATTGAGAGTATGTGGTGTGTGTATGCAAAAACATAAAATTGTTTTCGTTAAAACGTTTCACTTCATGCCAGCGGCTGCCATAACAGATTGATATTGTTGTTGTAATTTTTGCTGTAATTTTTGAATATTTTCCCGATGTTTATCTTGTTTCTTTTCCAAATCTTCGATTTGATCATTGCATCGCTTCAATTCTTTCTTGATATAGTCCATACGTTTGCTTACATTTTGACGACTGTCTTCAAGATCTTGTTTCACCAATACTGGACCGTACAATTTGTATACCTGCAACAAGTTACCGTATATTATTCGATTGTGTCATTTCAAATGGTTCGATTTGAACACGTTTGATGCATACCTGATTGTCGTCTTTCAGTATTTTCAATTCCTCCAGAACGCTTTTGTTTTCATTCAATTGACCATCGAGGAGTTCACGTTGTTGCACCAGTTTACTGAAATCTGAAAATCACAATAAAAAAATCTCCATTGAAATATACGGCATATTTACGATGACGAAAATGAAGCAAAAAATGAACAAAACCAACAGCATTTTCCCTTTATTCACCCACACACATTTCCAGATGTCAAGCCAAAATATCATCATTTGACCAATGGAAAACATGCGGCAAATATCGATAGAAATATCTATGATTTACATACCTTTTTGAATAGATTTGAACTGATCCACCTCCGATTGCATTTTCTTTTCGATCGCTTTGCATTCTGCATCCATTTTTGTGGCTGTTTTTTTTTTTAAATATCTGTTCGTTTACCAAAAAAATATCTCAAGTATGAATGTATCTTTTTCTGTTTCAGCGAATACATGCAGTTCATCGTTTGACACATTCACCGCAAAAAGACATTCTTTGTGAATGAGTCAGTCGCAGGTGGCGCCATCAGTTGTGCATATTGTCTATCTGAACAAGCGAGTACTTAATACACTTATGTTGGTCAGCGTTATTTATATTGGAATCGGGTGTTTATAGATATTAGATATAAACAAAAAATAAAACAAACGTTGCAAACGGGAATTTATATTGATAACGAGGATGAACTTGTAAAATGGCAAGTAGTTGTTCGATCTGTCGTTGAATTATTGAAAAACTTCAAAGAAATCTATACAAAATTCAACTTATGTTTAGATTCAAAAATTGTTGATAATAATGTGAAAGATGAATTTTGAAATTGTTTGCATAATGTGAAGGAAAAAAAATATTGAAAATTTTCAATTATTTGTTGTAGAAGAAACGAGATGCAATACAAATGGACTATTGAAAAATAAAAATCTATTAATTGATGTAAATGTGATTTGTAGAGTTTAGAATAATATAGCTGCTATATTCATTGGTTACGAATATTTATTTAAATTTTTTGGATTTTAGCAGACATTTTTTCATATCCAATTAATTTTAATTCGAAAGTTGTTATATTCACTAATTGATCTGAGGTCACATATAAATCTCTTTTCTCTTGATATTTGTTCCATTTTAATTACACCAAATAAATATAAATGTTTTTGTTTACATCTGCCGATCTATTTATCTTTGATCCTTTTTCGTAATGTTAAATAGAACCTTTTTATATCACTTTGCTCAAACGGCTGATTTGTTTCTGCAATTAATATGACAATCTTCTCTATATCTCAAGTGGCTATCATAATCAATGTGGCGAACCTCATCTTCGTTCATCCTCTTCACCATCAGAGCAGCAATCCCTGGATTTCAGGAATATTTTTAAAATAGAAAAAACACGATTTCCTTCCGAACACTGTCAGAAAGATAAGGAATTTGGAAAATAAGTTCGTAAATTTTTCGATAAAAACACAGAAACACAGGTGTTATTTAAAAGGTGAATGCCTTTATGTATATATGGAATCTTCTAAACTCTACAAAATCACATTTACATCAATTAATACGATTTTTATTTTTCAATAGTCCATTTGTATTGCATCTCGTTTCTTCTACAAAAAATAATCGAAAATTTTCAATATTTTTTTTCCTTCACATTATGCAAACAATTTTAAAATTCATCTTTCACATTATTATCAACAGTTTTTAAATCTAACCATAAGTTGAATTTTTTATAGATTTTTTTCACGTTTTTCAATGATTCAACGGCAGATCGAACAAATCTTTGCCATTTTATAAGTTCATCCTCGTTATCAATATGCTTTCGCTTGTTTATGTTTTCAAATATACAATTCGGCGAGTAGATAGAGATTCAGCAAAACCAATGTGACGATTAATATTACAACAAAAATGGAAAACATATTGAATGTTGAAAAACTTCGTTCGCCCTTGCTCATTGTACTCCATTTGGATGGAGTGTTCGATGTTGGAGAAACTGCTTTTGCTGTTGATTTTAACGAAGACCTTTTGCTAGAAGCCTCTTCAACTCATGATTTTTGGGATAGAGCTGAAAAAATGAAGCATATTTACAGTGTTTACAGCAAATATAATGATACTTTTTATGATAAAAGTAGCTAATAAATTAAATCGTTTACACAAAAGAATGCAATTTACACATATAAAAATTCTTCCAGCCCATATAATTCATTTGCGGAGTAATTTTGACGATGGCGGGACTGTGTGGAGTTTGGCGGAGATGACATGCAAACTCTGTGTGTACGAGGGAAACTGTTTAGAAAAATCCAAGTCCAATGAAAAAAATAGTAAAAAAAAAATCGAGATCACTTACGTTCGAAGTTTTTGGGCCAGCCCGTTGGCTCGTGTAACAGCTACCGTGAAATTCATGGTTCGAGGTTTCGTGCCGTCGCCGTTATCAATCCAGTCTCTATATACCATGTTTGTTATTTTGCGCATATTATGAAATTAAGCGAAAATATTCTAACTATATTAAGACGATTTGATTTATAATTCAGCAAAAATAAACAAAAAAATATCATCGTAGTTTTCCACACATTCATCAAAGTGAATCACACTGTGCACACATTATATAGTCACCATTTTTTTAATTACTAAGAAAAGTACTTACAATGGGAATTCGAATGAAAAAAACACTTTTTTTTTTTGTTTTAAAAAATGTCACAGTTTTCTTATATGAATGAAATCAAGAGTGCACTCATAATGGAAGGCGACATAAGTAAAGGACCAATGCCGCGATGACACAAAAAACTAAATGGATCGTCAGCCTCAAAGCAAGTGCAAATACATCAAAAATATCCATTTTGTATAACACAATACTGAGTACATAGACGACAGCAACAGCCATCAATAAAACACCACAAAAAAATAGTTCAGTTCAAAGGAAAATCACCAGGTACCATTTAGAGAATTTTTGGGTGATGTTAAGACACGACGCGTCTTCTCGTATCAAGAGAAAGCACCGGCAGCACCTAAATCCATTGCGTGTTGTGTATTCAATTAAGACGCCAATGTCAACTAAAAGTGTTTCTCGTTATATTCCGACAAGTCCAGAACGAATTTTGGACGCACCTCACATCGATTATTGTAAGTTTCTTAGATTACTTTTTATCAAATTATGATTGAAACCAAATCGAACATCGAGAGAATATATGTCAAAGTGAAACGTCAAGTTTTATGGAGTAATTCAGGCAAAAATATTGTTGAAACAAAACTAGATCCCGAAAATGTGATTTTTCAATGAAATCAGCCTATTATCTAAGTATCAATTTTCTTTTCGTTTACAGACTTAAATTTGATGGATTGGAGTGCATCAAATATCGTGACACAAAGTATCGGTCAATCAAGCTGCTAAGGGTGTTGAAACAAAAATCAAAGGCTACTAACCATATTCCGACTAAATATTCGTTTTTTTTTCTTCATGAATTCAGATCTGTTGTTACTTTGGTCAACTGTGTCATTAGATCATTTGCCGATTTAAAGAGAGATTTCTCTAAAAGGAAATAAAATTTAAAGTAAAAAATTTGATTTTCATATTTAGTGATCATTGCTAGTTTGTTCTAAAATGTCCATAATAATATTCTTTCAATCATTTCATGCAATCTTTATTATGATTGGTATTGCCTTCCAATCGGAAAATGAACCGCTGATCAATGTTCGTTTTTTGTGGCAATACTTCGGTTGTGACTGTGCTAGTTGTTGCTGACGTTGTTACAATTGGTTCAACTGGTGGACATTGTTTCGGACATTGTTTCGGGATGTGGAAAATTGTCAACTTTGGTAAAACGATTTATTTTTACTTTTTTCTGAATTGATTTTTTTTTTTTTGCAAGAACCAAACTGTCATTAGAAAATGAAAATAATTTCGAAAATAATAGATACAGCAATTTTTTAAAATCAAGAAATGTTTTCTCTAAATTAAATATATTTAGAAACTGTGTAGACCTATATCAACTGCTGCTTTACTTGTATTGTCTGCAATTGGTGAAAATTTACAACAAATAATTTGGATCAATAAATCTTATGCAATCATAAAGTTTGATCAGTGGATCACAGAATTTCGTCTAAATAATGGTTTCGACGATCGATGGATACAAGAGAATTGTACATCACTTAATGCGGTTGAAAGCGCCATTTCAAAGCACTTGTCGAAGCAATAGTGATTCTTACCATAAATCCATTGAACGAAATTCGTTAACTGTAAAAATTTGGTCAAAAAAAAACATGTTGTAAGACAAAAGAAAACCATCTCAGGGCATGTTAACATAAAATAGTCGTTTTGTTTTTATTTTCCATATCGAATAAATAAATAAATAAGTTATTGATCCTAATGTGTCAACATGTTGATAAATGTTATTATTTTCCAATAAATTTATTTAAATAAAAAAAATGTCAAGACAAAAAATACGATTTTAGTATCTGCGTGTCTATACAACATTTTTTCAAATATTCTAAAAAAATGATGAATTTTGTAATGGATACAAATGGACTAGTCTTCGTGCGAAGATGACGGTGACGGTGGCATTAAATTGGGCGATGGTGCATCGATTATGGATGGTGTTCTTGCTTGATGCAATGCAGCTGCTGCTGGATTTGCTTGGTTTTGTTGCAATTCTGGTAAATAATCCTTCCAACTGCGAAACAAGTAACGTGTAAATTTTCTCAATTGCCTGAATTTGCAGTATGTGCCTTCGGCCTGTTCCAATTGCTGTGTTTGAATGAGAAAACCTTTTTCTTTAAAAGTCTTTTCCAATTTTTCACGTTGCATTGATCGCTTCGATTTTCGTTTTCGTGTGTTATGATAATGTTGTTGCTTTGGATGCTGTTGCAATTGTTGCTGGTGTGATGGTATTGATGTTTCTGACGAAAGCATTGCGCCAACGGAGCTTGGTGTATTTATTTCGTGTATTTGAAGCAATTCATTGCTCAATCCAAATGATGGTGGTGGAATATCGTTTGTAATCTTTTGTCCGGGTGTATTTAAAAATGCGCCAGCACTTGAGGCCGTCATTAAGCTCGATTGTTTAAGACTTTCGCGTGGAAAAAAGCGAATCGATTTGTCACCGGTGCCGCTGTAATAGCGAAAGTTACCGCCCGCATCAACCGATAGCATTTTCTTTTCTTGCAAACTTGGCTTTGCACCGCCCGTAAATTTAAACTTGCAAATGCTCACTTCGGTCGCATGATTTGTGGACGATTCCTCGGGAACGGGCGGAATGAATATAGCCGATCGTTTTCGTTTGGGTGCGTTTGGATGTTTTTGATTCGCATTCGATGTAATTGTCGCTTTATTGCTTATCGATGCCGATACAGTCGTTGGCGTTACACTTTGTATTAATTGATTTGTCACTGAATTTGTTGCTTCTTCTTTCATTAATTGTGACATTTTTTTCGGTACTAACATTCTTCGTTGTCTGGTTCGCATCGAATTCGTATCGCTGGTACTGCTTTCAGTTGATTCCGGTTTTGGCGATTCGCTCGCACGTTGACCGTAATTCGGCGACGGTGTATTTGAATTTGAATTTGCAATTTTTTGCAAGTACAATACCATCGGATTTAAAAACATTCCTGAATTTTGCCAACAATTATAATTATTAATATCCGTTTCCATATCGATGCCGGCGGTTTCGGGTAATTCATGCTTATTATCTAAAAGTGCTGACTGGAAATTCGGTAATGCCATTTTAAGATTGCGTGGAAAATGCGCGGTGGACAATGGTTCATTGGTTGACAACAATGGCATATCTGCTTTAGAATCGGCGAATTTTTTTTCACTATCGGTGCCATCTTCATCGGATACCACCGTCATCACGTCACTATCGTATCGATCTCGGACACATAAATTCAATGGCTCTTCGGTGTTATCGTCACCGTCACGAGTCAATTGCACCTCCGTTCCATCGCCACTATCAATTAATCTACGTTCGAGCAACGATCGATTTATCAATGTTTTAGTATTATTTGGTGTTTCCGATTCCAATTCAGTTTCAGTTTCAGTTTTTTGATTTGGAAAAATGGTACCATAATTTTTATAAATTAAATGACAAATATCGGCCTTTTTCGGCTTTCGTCCACGACGTGGTTTGAAATTGTCTAACGTAATTTCGCCCATGTATGGTAGATCTTGTGCGGTCACCTTTGCGCTATGCTTTGCTACAGTGCCTTTTGATTGATTACCATCATTCTCCATTCGTAATGTTGAGTCTCTACCATTTTGGTGTTTGGATGATTTTTGTAACCACATTTGCACGGATTTATCACCCTTTGTATCGGATGCATCTGATTGATTTGCAGCATGATCCGTGGAGGGCGTTTGTAGTGTTGATGTTGCCGTTCGATCTTTTTTACTTGATCGAATACTCGACGAAAATGTACCGAGAGTCATCTCTTTCGTGTTAAAATGATTTTGTGTGGCTTCGTAATGGTCGAGATATTCTTGCGGCAATGCCTGATGATGAAAACGTAATTTTAAATTACCCGATTTTCTAACTCGCGTCGATTTTTTATTAAATGTTGATGTTGGTGTTTCCATGGGCACAAGTGAATTTCCACAGCCAGCAATTGTATCAAATTCATTTTGATTGTCATCCAATGCGCCCGATATTAATGGATCATCTGAATGTCTACTCAAAACGAAATAAATAAATTTGTTATATCGATGTGAAAATATTCAAATTGAAAGAAAAAAACAAAAATTTTCAAGAACAAAAAAGACATCGAGAAATAAGAGCTTACAGTAAATTCGAGCCAATGTTTGTGGTCGGTGTGTTCCATTGGAATGCATCGGTTGTGTCTTCCAATTTTATAGATGTGGGTAACGATTCAAGTTCTGGAGTTCGGCCCAATTTAATGCGATCAAAAGCTGATTCATTGTTCGTTAAGATTGCATCTTTATCACATCCTGTTTGCAATAATGTCAATTCGTCACGTGATATATCTTGCATGCTAGGTCCTGAAAATGATCAAAACGATGAAAATTTGATATTAAAAAAAATTTCGCCGCAACAAATGAAAATGACATGAAATTCATTTAACTATACTCGAAATCGTTTGAATCGTTTGACCGAATTTATTATTGGCTCATAAACGATGAACGGCGTTGAACTTTTTTTATTTTGTTTTTCTTTTTTCCGAGAAAAATAGAAAAAATAAGCAAAACGATCATAGATATAGATGAAAGAATATTTTCCAACAAAATAAAAGAACTATTTTCTTCTCGAATTATGAAATATCGAGCACGTTTCGTCACTGAAATAAAAATAAAACGTACTCGCTTGAGCGCTGAACTCCTTTTTTGCCTTTTCTCATTTTTCACTATGTGTTTTCTTGGTTCGGTATTTTTCTTTGCTCATTCCTTTGCAATAGCTTATAAAAAGGCGTTTTTTCCTACTGCCATTTGATCGCAAGCTGCATTTTCCTGTTTTGAGTGATGCCATGAACTAAAACGGTTTTTTGTTTGTGGTTTTGCATTGAAAAAGCATTCGATAAATTCAAAAATAGGGGGAGATAAATGATCGAACGAGTGAGAGAGAGAGAGAGAGAGAGAGAGAGAGAGAGAGAGAGGAATCTGGCGGCAAGATATTGAAAATTAATTCAATTTAGGAAATTTGCCAAATGCAAACCGTAAAATTCATATAAATCCGTTTTATGTGTATAAATGGAGTATTATAATTGAGTTTATTATATAATGTAATATGTTGTATATATACATGAATAAGAACCGAAGCGAGAAATCCGAAGCGCTCCAATTGAAATGTTGGCGTGTGTGCATGTTTTCGAAATGAAAATTGCGGGAGAGAAAAAACAACCGACGAACAAAAAGCAATCACCCACACATGCCGAAAAATTGTGAGAAAAAAATGGAATTTGTGGCTCATCCTTTTTTTTGACCAATCGATTCCGCTCGATCGGAACACTATTTTGGATCAAACGTTTTTCAAGCCGAGCAGAAAAAAGCGCACACACAGAAGATCAAATTAGTATGCATAAAATATTCAACCGAAAACAGATTGGGTACACAAATATTTATGCATTGGGAAATATATGTGAGTGTATGTGCGAACGCGTAAACGCCAGCGCGTTAATAGTCTTAAATTGATCGGTGCTTTATATTTTTCTCAGCGTAGACATCGTAAGCGTTCAATGTAAAATAAGCAACAAAATTCGTAATTTTTTTTTTTTGTTTTGCCCATCCAAATAGCCAGCTCGAGTCAAATGCGTAAATAATTTTTAATTTGTAACGTAGTTTCGTTTTGGTGGTTGCGAGTTTTTGGCGCAAGATTGGTTTGGTACCTTTTTTAAGCCAGTGTAATTGGCAACGACCGAGCAAAACTGTTTTCCAGAATGCACACAAACGAAAATATATTTAAAACTATTTCATATTTGTCGTTAACACTCACCCGAAAATAATAATTCCGGCAGCATTGCTTTCGAACTGAAGACTGCAAAAATCTCTTTTTTTATGTTCTTATTGCTGCTGGTTTGCGTGATGTTTGCTTAAATAGGTTTTCATTTCATTTATTCCATGTCAATCTACTCGGCTTAGACAGAAAAATTAAAACCATTCACACACCACAGATCTCAAATGGATCTTGTCGAATTTTATCCAATAAAAAGTAACCCGTAAATTTCTATTATCAGTTCTGATTCAGCATTAACACAGTGTGCACATTTTCTTTTTTTTTCACGAATTTCACACCCACTTGCGATTAATGTTTCTGTTTTCAATGTATAGATTTTGTTTCCTTTATGTTCTCTCTCTCTATTTCTCACTCTTCCTTTGCGTTTTCCCTATTTTTACAATGTTTTCATTGAAAAGCTTCACATACGATCGATGTTAAAACATAAATTGACGATTTCACATGACAATCAAGGATGACATTATTATTTCCGCAATTGAACTAGGAACTTATCGAATTTTCAATTGTTTTAAATGATATTATATTATTTTCATAACTACAACTGGATCACAGTATGCGAAAGAAAACACGATGGTAATACCATCTCATCAAAGTTCATTATCAATTGATTTTCCAGCGTTTTTCCCTGGATTTTCTTGTGTGTATGTGTTTTTTTTTTTTTTTTTTCAAAAAAAAGCTACAGACATTCTCTGGAAATAAACGATCACGGTTTTTTTCTGGTTTGAATGAAAAAAAAATTACCAAATAATTTGCACAATCGTAGATATAGTATTATTTCAAAGGATATACATAGAGAAGCTGACTAATTGCGATGTCGCATAACACTAAACTAAATTTGTAAAAATCAAAAATGTGTGCCTATACATAAGTAACGGCATTTCTATGTATATTTTTGAATTGTTCGCTTTCCTTTCAGTTCTGTTTTTACGATATACGGTTTATTTATTTATTTTTTCATTCGTGTGTTCCTTTTGGTACGGCTGTGGTGTGAGAATCAGACACGAGCTCACATTCAAAAAAGTGCCTTTATAAAAATATACCGTAGAAGGTGTGCTTCTTTGCACCGATACACTGAAAACGACGCGAATCACTGTGCCCCAAGTGTGAATGACAGAGAAATAAGATCAAATGTATGCTCTATACCGTTCTGGCTTGTGTATCGGTGTGAAAACCGAATGTGAAAATTCAATCTAATTTTGTGTGTGATTTTTCATTTAAAATTTTATTTTTATTCGGTTACACATTTGTCTCACGCTCAATGGCTCAAGCCGATCAAGTGTATGTTTCAACGAAACAAGTCATTCACCACATGCTTCAAATCACAAATCGAGCACTGTTTTAAGGCAAAAAAAAATAAAATAAAAAGAAAATATTATAAACTATAACTATACACACACGTTACAAGTAGCAAAAATGTGTACATATTTACATATCTCAGCGTAGTCCTTGACATAAATGATGACACCTTTCTATTGCAACTGTTGCAATAACAAAATCGGAATATTCAGTTGTAATGCATTGGTTTTCCTTCGGAAACAACAGAGGAATGGCATTTCCAACATTGATTTGATTGAATGCAAATGAACATACTGATAATAATTTACTTTTTTGGTTTAAAATCGGCCCTATTCAGTTATTCATATTAAATATTGAAGAAAATGAGACGACCTTCTCAGATATACTTAAAAATTATCTAAGCATACTTTTTTAAAGTTAAACTTTAAACGAGATGAATTAGAAACTGCACGTGGATTTGCATCTCCTGGAAGAGGGATTCTCAATACAAAATTGGAATGTCATTCAGTTGATTTCAGAAGCTCCATAAACTGAGCTGTGAATTTAAATTCTCAGAACTACCTTTCATTAAGCATTCCTAATTTTTTGCACGAATTGATAAAATTTCATTGAAAGATTAGTCTTTAATGAAAAATTAGTTCAAAAAGAACATTTTTTTTTTCGAAACGAAATCCATTTATTTATGAATTTCTGTAACAACAATGTGAAAGTTTCCTTTACTGTTGTCGATATTTATTTTTTTATTTTCATGAAAATCTCTCGAATCCTTACTTTAAAAATTTACTGGGCCAATGATTAAAATTAAAAACACTAACGCTTATTCGAACATGAATAAATATTTTAATTTAAAATGTCGGAGAAGGATTGAATTCATGTTATTCTGGATAAAACCATTGCTAAATAAGATATCATATATTTATGTAAAAGAACCGTTAATCACATCAATTCTAATATCACGCCGTTCAACTAAAAACATTTAACAAATTTTCTTTTCGGAATATTTTTATTAAATTTGATAAAAATGAATAAATTAACGGTAAAATGTAAACATGTAGCTATGAATTATTCGCTAATCAAGTGTTTATATTTTATAATTCATATGCGATGTAAAGCTTACAGTTCCAAATTTTCGTCGAGTAATTTGCAGCGTCTCAAAAATGTTGCATGTACAAATAAATGACTATTGAAAATGTCCGAATTGAACGCGTGAAAAAGAAAAACCCAGTTCATTTGAAAGATAGTCTACCATATTTGGATACATTCATGCGGGTGGTATAAAATTTTCTATATTTAAACATTTTGATCAGAATGCCGCGTATAGAGCACCGTCTTATTCATGTCTTCCGCGTATTTGTTTTTTTCTTCTTCTCACAAATACGCACACTCATACATACTTGAATCGTTGCGGCAAATATGAGATCGGGAGCAAAGGAGCAGTGAATGCGAATCTGATGTGTATATATAATGATGCATCATTTTATTGCTCATTTTTCGCGTGAATATAGTTTGCGTATGAATCGATGAGTGTGTGTGTGCTTTGTTTTTCGTTCTCTCATCCGCAAAATGTCATACACAGCGATTGTTTTGGTTTGCCATCGACCAAATGGAATAAGAAGTGACCGATTTAATTGTGATGAGGGCAGGTGCAATAATATATTTGCAGCTGCTTCAACACTAGCTTTTTCTCTCAAGAACATTTCCATTTGACACACGAAACAAGAGAACTTATCAAATCACATTGCATTTTTGAAGAATAATTCAAAAATTCCTTTTAAAATTTCAATTTTGGTTCGCGGTTCATTCGAATAGCATTCCATATCCATTGTGATTGGCATTTATCAAAGTGGTGTCATCTGCTGGCTGTTTTATGTGTTGATGAATGATTAGCGCCGCCTAGTGAAGCTCATTCCAGCACAAACCAAGTGGAAAAAAAGAGAAAGAAACAACTGAAAAAAGTGTAAGTATGAAAGAAGAAGAAGAGAAAAAAATACACACGAAAGAACTGAATGAACACACTCCGAACGTCAAATGAATTTTCAGATGAAGACGATCGAATGCATATGGCGTCTATTTACTTGAAGTAAAATAGTGTTGTATTTGCTCCTGTGATTTTGTGTTTTCCGCTGTGCCTCAACAAACTGATTGTGATAATAATAAAATCATGCATCCAGTAGGGCAGCGTAAGTATATTTGAAAAAAAAAAATGAAAGAAACAAATGGAAAACCGAATTTTTATTTTATTCGGATAAACAAGCCAGAAAATGTGCGTGTACATCGACAGCAATGAAGACGAATAGCAAATAAAAAGCTGAATTTATATATTGTGAATTTGAATGAGTACAATAAATAATAAGAAGTTTCGGTAAAAAAAATATTCATACGGTGGTTCGATGTGAATGATTCATTTTATTTTGGTGGTGTTTAAAAAACGACGAGATGATGAAGCAACAGTAGCAAAAAAAGAAGAAATTGTTCATACTTTAAAAAATAATTTTTCGTATTTATTTTGACCATAAAGTTGGTCAAACATTCAGTGTGTGTGTGTAAATGTGTGTGAAAGAAACTTGCATTTTTTTGTTTCGTGGGATGAAATCAAAGCAAAAAAAAAATCATGAAGCATTCCCTCAGGTCGTCGTCATTACGTGCATTCAATAATTATGATGATGATGATGGCGATGATGATGATTTTTTTTTATTTATGTATACAGTGTGTACAATTCAATATGTATTCTTGCATTACACGCCATGGTGTATATGGCTGAAGATATATTCAATGTTGTGTGTAAAATACGTGCTATTCACTAGATATACTGTGATGTGAATGTGTATGTGTGTGAATGTGCGCTCACACGCGCGCGCGCTTACACATTCGTATGTGTATAATATACACGTTTCATGTACGTAAGAAAGGCAAATGATATGTTTGTGTGTGTGCAGGCTGGTTTGTGTGTGTTGTTGGTCGATTTGCGCCAGAGTGCGTTGTAAGTTCTTCTTTTGTTCTATTAGAGACATTTTCTACGAACATCTATGAATTCAATATCCATTTTTTTATGTTGCAAATATTTCTAATGAAATGCAAACAAACAAATTGAAAAAAAATGCAAAAATGTGTCTTTTTTCCCAAACATCTATTGATGTTCGTTTGAAAATGATTTCAATAGTATTTAATCTCAGTGTGTCTGGTTGGTCAATAACATGCGCGCAAGCAACATCCACACATAATAACAACATATCAACGACGAATTAAAAGAAACGAGCACAAAAAGAATGGCAACAAGCAGTGTTAAACAATAATAATGCAGGAAATGGAACGATTGCGAAAAAAAGCAAAACCTCAAACCAAGACAGCATATACGATGAATGAAAATTATATTTTCCAGTACACACATCTTGTATTGTTCATGCAATTTGTTGACCTGAAACGTCCTACATGTGTTTCCTTTAAATTGCATATTTGTTGCGGCTTTTGTTATTATTTATATGACGAAAAAAATTATCGCAATTCACACACAACAGTGGCTCATTTGCTTGATTTTGTTTTTATCGTAAATTTCGCGTGGTCAGTTATCATTGACAGACATAACCGCAGTTTGAATACATACGTTGTGGCTAATCTTCGTTCATTTTCATTCATTAACAAATGCGATTGATAGACTCTATCAAGGTCCATTTCGGGTATGCAAAAAAAAAGCAAGTGGAGGCTTTTAAATCATTCGGCAGAAATGAAACATCGAACATTTCACAAAAGAATGAACATTTTACAATGACAACATATTTTCCACACTTCAGCCGATTGAAATGGAAAAATGATTGTTCGTTTCACATGATTTGGTAACTTTTGGAAATTGCGAAAGTGTTTTATTTTTGTCTATCGCGTCGCAATACTAATACATATAGATTTAATCGGAGACAGTCTATATCTATCACAATCTCTGTTTGATGTATTTTAATTTTAAAATTTGAAGCCGAATAAAAAAAAAAACAAATTCAATCTCTTCGATTGAGTGGTCAAATGCTCTCTGTCTTTTTCGTCATTTGTCTCGGTCACAAGAAATAAAAAGAAGAGACGAATCGAATTGACTTTTTTCGATCATTTGATTTAAAGACATTTAGAAACAGATCATCACTTTGTTCATTGTTTTGTTCGCTGGCACACGCTTACGACCGATACACCAGCAGCAACAAAGTTTACAATGTATGGTACACACATCTCAGTTCAAGTGAATAATACACAAATACAAAGTAAGTGGCGTTCGCGTCATTGTACTGTATGGCCATTGAGCTAGAGAGATAGAAAGGGACACACTGAAACTGTGTGTACGGTATATGTGTATAATGTGGACAGAAAAGCAGCAGCAGCAACAGCAGTTGTTCAACGTTACAAAAAGAAAAAAATACCACAACACACTGATGAAACTGTCGAATTTCAATTGAGTGTGTGAACGCGATTTTTCATTGAGTATATTTATTTATTTATTTTTTTGTTGCTTCGCTCGCTTGTCTTTTCTTTTTGTCTTCAGCCGTGTGCAGTGGTAGTAGCATTCGAGTCAAACATATACATATGACGTTGTGAATGTACAGATAAAATAGTTTCATATAAGCTCGTGTTTTTACTCTTCTCTTCTCTCATGCTCGTCATTTAATGTGTTCGTTCTACATAATTTAGGTCAATGACCGAATTTTTTTTATTGAAAACGTTGAATTTTCTACCATATTTCCATGAAAATTCGATTGGATTTTGCGAAAGTTACGGAAAATTGGTTTAGTGTTGCATAGAAAATGTTGTGATTTATGTTTGAAATTTGGTTTCTATATGATTTAAATGCAAAATGTAAACAAGAAACGTGTGTAGCTAGTTGGAGTGAGAAAAATGGAATACTTTTGATTGAGATCATGTTGTTTTCCCGACAAATAATTTCGGACATACAAACACACACACACTGTAAACAAATCCTTTGATTTTTTTTCCTATAAAGTAAATAATCGCTAAAGCAAGTGAAATAATCGAAATTGAAGAATAAAAAGTGCGTCATTTCAGAATCATCGTCTTTGTTGTGTAATTGCGTATAAAAAATACCTTTGAATAACACACAAACAAACAATAATTTGACAATCGAAAAACGTGCACTGCGAAGCACGTTTTAACCTGTTCCCTCCGCGAATCATATTGTGTTATTCAAACTCTTTGCATTACTCTCGACTAAGAGTGGTCTGTATATAGCTGGAATTAAATTATTCAACTGAATTTTGTTGGTATTACATCGACGACGACATCATCAACCATCGTAAACAATCCTGCTGTATCCTAGTCGTTGCATACCAATTGATTGAAAAAAAAAAAAAAAAATACGAGATCCACCAAAATAGAAAATCATGTCGAACAACCAAGAAAATGGTAAATTGCACTCGAATTCAATGTTTTTGTCACATAAATTCAAGCTGAATGATGTTTTTGTTTGTTTTTTAAATCGGTTCTGGTTTTTTGTTTGTGAAAAATGTCTAGTACTGATAATAAACATACAAACACACACACATATAAATTAATTTATTTGTGTGTTTGGTTTGATGTTTTTGTTTTGATTTTCACACAAATCCACACAATTTAAAAAACAAAAATTAACCTTTATGTCAAAGCATTTGTGATCAATTAAAGCCAAATTCACCACCACTACCATTACCATCAACACACTAACTAACGAATGTCACCAAACATGCACCCCCCATTTTGCATATTCGTTTCTTTTTCAGGCCAAAAGAGAACACTTTGTGAAAATGTGTTTTCTTTTATCAATTTGATTTTGATGCTTCTCTCGTTGTAACGCGTTTCCATTTGCTATTTTGTGTAGAATAAATTTTGTGATCGCGATTGTATGTTTTGTAAATATGAAAATGTATGGCTTTGATGAATGTTTGTAAATGAAATCGTTAAGATGTTACCACATAAATCCGGTATTACTTATCTATGGGAAATGATGTTGACATTTTGTGAAAACAAACACACGCAAACCGAAAATGTGCTTCGACCGACTATAAAATATATGTGCCGGCATGGATTCATTGTGACCACAAATATCCTTTGTGTCGAAGAAAACGTTTTATGCGTCGGTATCATCGATGTTCTTGTCGTTTATATTGTTGCTTGCATTTTGTTTTATTTGGTTATTTCTTTAATAATTTTTCACTAATTTGTTGCTTTATTCTACCACTTTCTTATCGTTTAGGCTAAAAAAAACTACATATGCAGCTCATTGACACCAATCGAAATTCACCAATTAAACCAAGTCTAAATAAACAAAAAAACTACCAATAAACAAATCAAAGAAAAACATAACACACAAACGATTTGCTAAAAGAACCATTGAAATAAATAATAATACAAATTGATTTAAAAAAAGAGAGAACAACTAAAACTCCTATACAAAACTTTGATAAGAACAAACATACATAAAAAACCAAAATGTGGGAAAAAAGTGAATGTATGTATATTGATAAGTTCTAAGTGGCAAAATGGGCACACGATACATATTACATTACCAAATTTGTATTTTTTACACGTTTTTCTTTTGAATTTATACTATTTTTTTACTCTTTCTCGTTATACAAAATGATTTTTTTCGTTTGCTATTTATACATTGTTTTCTCAATCGCAAAATTCATTTTTTTTTTGTCAAAATTTTTTGCCGCCTGTGATTCCTTTTCGTTTTGGATATTCGAATATTTTATCATCGTTGTTTTTTTATTTTTCAAAGTTGATTTATACTATTTATTTTCAACATTTTCTTTTTTGATCATTAAACAATCACACTTTCAATCTCAATAATCACATAATCATTTCACATCTTTTTTATATTCAAATAATGCTGATCATCATCGCTTTCAATAAATAACTAAATATCAGTTGACTAAAATCAGTTTCACTTCACCATCCAAATGGCTATGAGAAAAATAAATACTAAAAAAATTAACTAACATTTTTCACTATATGGTTATTTTTTATTTATCTGTGCTTATTTTGAACAACTTTTCATATTTTTAATTATTTTGTTGAACAAAATTATTTTTTTCATAAACTCATTTTTCATTAAAAAAAAAACATTTCACGCTTATGCGGTGCAATGAACTCTGAAGAAAATTGCATTTTAGAGCGATCATCTAATTGATTTGTTTTATCTTTTCCATTTGAAATGATGCTCAATTTCACAAAAAAAAAAACAAATAGCACCAACTGCTTCTGAGTCTGCTGTGAGCACAACGACAACAGCAACACCCGGTAAGTATAAGATTCTAACGCAAATGTACAATCAAAATACCAACATTTCGTTTCAATATCTTTGTTTGTTTATTTTCTTTATTGAATGTATGTAGGACCATTAACTGGCGTTGTATCAGCAGCAGCACCCGTTCAGCCGGATCTCCCAGTGTTCACATGCCCACGTCGGCCAAATTTGGGCCATGAGGGTCGTCCAATATTATTGCGCGCCAATCATTTTCAGATTTCAATGCCACGTGGTTTCGTTCATCACTATGATATAAACATTCAGCCGGACAAATGTCCCCGAAAAGTGAATCGTGAAATTATTGAAACAATGGTTCATGCATACAGTAAATTATTTGGTGTATTGAAACCAGTATTTGATGGTCGAAATAATTTGTATACACGTGATCCATTGCCAATTGGTAATGATCGTTTGGAATTGGAGGTAACATTACCGGGCGAAGGAAAGGATCGTGTATTTCGTGTATCGATCAAATGGTTGGCCCAGGTTTCATTATTCAATTTGGAAGAGGCACTTGAGGGTCGTACACGTCAAATTCCATACGATGCCATTTTGGCATTGGATGTTGTTATGCGACATTTGCCAAGCATGACATACACACCAGTCGGCCGTTCGTTCTTCAGTTCACCAGATGGTTATTATCATCCATTGGGTGGCGGTCGTGAAGTTTGGTTTGGTTTCCATCAGAGTGTTCGACCATCACAGTGGAAAATGATGCTTAACATTGACGGTATGGACTAATTACATTTTCTCTCATTTTCATCGGATCTAAAAAATGTATGGTGTGCATAATTTTTATTTTGAATTATATAGTTTCGGCGACTGCATTTTATAAAGCACAACCAGTAACGGACTTCATGTGCGAAGTTCTCGATATTCGTGACGTATTAGACCAGCGAAAACCACTTACAGATTCACAGCGTGTCAAATTTACAAAAGAAATTAAAGGCTTAAAAATCGAAATCACACATTGCGGAACAATGAGGCGAAAATATCGCGTGTGCAACGTTACACGGCGTCCAGCTCAAATGCAATCGTAATTATAATTTTATATCAATTGATTGATTACTTTTCTCTGGTGCAGCTATTGATTTTTCTTTTGTTTTGTTCGTCTGACAGATTCCCATTACAATTAGAAAACGGACAGACGGTTGAATGCACCGTAGCGAAATATTTCCTTGATAAATACAAAATGAAATTGAAGCACCCACACTTGCCATGTCTGCAAGTGGGTCAAGAGCACAAGCACACATATTTGCCACTGGAAGTCTGCAACATTGTTGCTGGACAGCGTTGCATCAAAAAATTAACCGATATGCAAACATCAACAATGATCAAAGCAACTGCCCGATCAGCTCCTGACAGGTAACTAAGCGGTTCGATTTCACCTTTTGATCGTTTTTAATTCGATTTTTTTTTGTGGTGTTCTTCTGCAGAGAACGGGAAATTAACAATTTGGTACGACGGGCCGATTTCAATAATGACGCCTATGTGCAAGAGTTTGGTTTGACAATTTCCAACAGCATGATGGAGGTACGCGGTCGTGTTCTTCCTCCACCAAAACTACAGTATGGTGGCCGTGTGTCATCGATCAGCGGGCAAGTAAGTACTCATGTGCAAGTGTGTCACATCATTTTAGATTATGTGTGCACATTCAAAATGTGAAACGGGTCAAAGAAGTATCCGTGACATTAAATGAATGGGCGCACATATTAATTAGTATCGTTAAGCAATTTCGACTCGTATAAGAAGCATATTAAATTCAGAAAAGCCATTATTTCCTCCACAGAATAAAGTGAGCCTTGCATCTCCCAACCAAGGTGTTTGGGATATGCGTGGCAAACAATTTTTTACCGGTGTCGAAATTCGCGTATGGGCTATCGCTTGTTTCGCACCACAACGTACTGTACGCGAGGACTCGTTGCGCAACTTTACACAACAGCTACAAAAAATATCGAACGATGCTGGTATGCCAATAATTGGACAGCCATGCTTCTGCAAATATGCCACCGGACCCGATCAAGTTGAACCAATGTTCAGATACTTAAAGAATAGCTTTAATGCACTACAACTTGTTGTAGTCGTACTTCCAGGAAAGACACCTGTTTACGGTTAGTTAGATTATCTTATTTGAATTTCAAATCAATCGATGAACGTTCGGGTTTTTCTTTCAATTTCGTTTTATAAAATGTTTGTTTCTTATAAAATAGCCGAAGTAAAACGAGTCGGTGACACCGTATTGGGAATGGCAACACAATGTGTACAAGCAAAAAATGTTAATAAAACATCGCCACAAACACTATCCAATTTATGTTTAAAGATCAATGTTAAACTCGGCGGCATCAATTCAATCTTAGTACCATCGATACGACCAAAAGTATTCAATGAGCCAGTCATATTCCTTGGAGCTGATGTGACTCATCCACCAGCTGGTGACAATAAAAAACCATCAATTGCAGCCGTTGTTGGATCAATGGATGGTCATCCATCGCGATACTCGGCCACCGTCCGTGTTCAACAGCATCGACAAGAAATTATTCAAGGTGAGCATTTCGCTATTTGAACAAATTTTACAAATTCATATCGCAATTTTTCACATTTTTTTACTCTATCTCTCTCTAACTAAAAGAGCTTAGCAGTATGGTACGTGAGCTTCTGATTATGTTCTATAAATCCACCGGTGGCTATAAGCCACATCGAATCATTTTGTATCGTGACGGAGTCTCTGAAGGTCAATTCCCACATGTGTTGCAACATGAATTGACAGCATTGCGTGAAGCTTGCATCAAATTGGAAGCTGATTATAAACCGGGAATCACATTTATTGTCGTTCAAAAACGGCATCACACACGTCTATTTTGTGCTGATAAAAAAGAACAAAGCGGTAAATCTGGCAATATTCCAGCTGGTACAACAGTCGATGTTGGCATTACACATCCAACCGAATTCGATTTCTACTTATGCAGTCATCAAGGTATTCAGGTAAGTTTCAACAAACATCAATTGTTTTTTTTTGTGTTTAGCTCCAGATGTCATTTTAAATGCTAATAATAACAAACAAAAAAATTGTAGGGCACAAGTCGACCATCACATTATCACGTTTTATGGGATGACAATCATTTCGATTCTGATGAATTGCAATGTCTTACGTATCAATTGTGTCACACATATGTTCGATGCACAAGGTCGGTGTCAATACCAGCGCCAGCATATTATGCACATTTGGTTGCATTCAGAGCCAGGTACGTTTAATTGGTTTCGTTTTTATTATCAATCTCATTCATGGATTTTATTTCTTTGCTTGAAAAATTTATATTTATCGTAATTATAATGGCTTTGTACCCGTTTTCTCCTTGATACAGATATCATTTGGTTGAAAAAGAGCATGATTCGGGTGAAGGGTCTCATCAAAGTGGTTGTTCAGAGGATCGCACGCCTGGTATGTACAAATAACAATTTCCGTTATCTATATAGATTATCTTTTCGGATCGGGACCACATTTATACAATTGAACAATTTTTGCATGCACGTAAATCGGCGATTTCTTGATACATCAACGATTTGACTTCGAATTGTGTGCCAAATTCACTGTGTTTAAAAAAATAAATCCATGTAATTTCTTTTATTTTAGGTGCAATGGCCAGAGCAATAACCGTACATGCCGAAACGAAAAAAGTGATGTATTTTGCATAAGCAACCACACATTTTCAAAGAGAAAAAAAACAAGTAACAACCACAAAACACATAACACACACACACACACGGAAAACATCCCACAGATTTTGCTTCAATTTTTTATATATAATTATCTATATATATACATAGCTAAAGGGAAAGAAGAACCTAACTATCTAAATTTAATTTTCATTGATCAGATTACATGCGCAACCATTTACATTTTTTTTTTTTGAAAACCTAGTTATCGATAGATATGATAATTTTTAAACAGAGACAAATAGATAAAAGTGAGAAAAAGAAAGAAAGAAAAAAAAATGTTGAAATTGATGAACACAAAAGTATAGAAATTATTCTCGTATCTCCACAGTAAAGTGTGGAATCAATCAAAACAAAGCGCCAAATTGGAACTCTTTTTCAAAACAATAACAGTTAGCATGTCATCATTTATGATTATCAATAATAATCCCACTTATTTAGTTGTGTTTCTTTTTTTTTATCTCTTAATTTGTAACTTATGTCAATAATAATTCGCAATATGATCTTTACAACAACAATAACAAAAAAAAAACGTTTAGTAAGAAACAAAATACTAGAAGCAACTGAATGAGCAACACAACCAAGAGGAGAATGCAAAACAAAATGATTTTCTAAGACAATATTCTTTTGTGCGCGCACGAAGAATAAATAAGACGAAAATCCAAAATTAGGTTTCATATTCTTTAATAGAGTTAACCTCGTTTCATTTTTTTTTTTATTAATTAACTAATTTTTGTTCATACATACGCCAAAATGCACTTACTACATTTCAATCGATATGCAAGCATTACATATATATTCGGTTGTTTGAGTTAATTTTTGTTCATTTTTGTCACTTTCTTTGGACCTGGTACCAATTTACCTCCATCCCCCAAAACAATTTGCTTTAATTGAATTAGTTTAGCGAGATATTAAATTTAGTTATTCAATTTTTTTTTTTTGTAATATGAAAAAGTGAAAACGAACGAACGAAAATGAAACGATTAGTCGTTTGAGTGAATAGGCGACAGAATGCATCAACATTTTTGTAAAATGGGGCTTATTGCAAACCATTTTGCATCGTTGCATTGAATGTCATGGTCTCATTGGACTTATTGTTGTCACTTTGTCTGTCTACTTAAAATTGACTATTTTATTTTCGATTCACACATTGTATCATGTATAAATTTGTTGGAAAAACAACAACAACATTACGTTTATTCTAGTTGTTAATGTTATTTAAACAAAAACAAAACAAAACACAAAAAAAGACGTGAAGAAGTTAAATACAAAACAGTAATCCGAACCGAATAATATTTATCGAATGCGTGTATTAGAAGTGTGAGTGTATAGAGAAATGTCATCTCTGACTCAATCTTGCTCTCTTTCGCTCCTCGTTGATCATAATATGTTGCAACACTTGAAGTGAGAGAACACAGATCAAAGTGGAATGACTATTGACAAAACCAACAAAACGAAAAGAAGAAAAAATTACAAACAATCAATCAATCGATCACAATTGTCGATCAAAGCATGACGGCTTTTTCTGCAAATTTTTTTTTAAATAAAGACGATTTCACCGATAAGTGTAAGATCAATTTTTTAGTGGGTGTAGATTTTTTTTTTTGTTCATATTTATCAATATTTTTTTCGTGGGTGTAAATTTTTCTTTTGATTCATATTATTTAAAAAAAAAACACACACACACAAACATATTTAAAAAAAAAACAAAGCTTTAATTATATCCTCAAAATGGCAAATTTTTTTAAGAGTTAACACAAAAAAACAGAAATTACAAATAAATTGTTAACAATAATTTTTCTCTGTTTTTGTGTATGGTAATGAAAATAATCAAAAGAAAAACGTCTTGTGGCAAACTGCAATTTCGATTCAATTTTTGAAAACGATGCATTTAAAATGGAAACAAACAAAGAGTATGCAAGCCAACCGACCTGAGAATTAGTTTTAAAACATATAGTGATGATAAAAATGAAGAATATGAAGAAAAATAAAACAAAACTGATGACAGAAACTAATTATCGTACACACTTAGAGTATAGAAAAATCACAAGTCACCGAAACCAAAACATTTGCGCGCAAGCATGAAACAACAGTATAACAACAACAATTGTACGGCCGCGATGAGAATAAGCAACATGGAAATAGAACATTTTAAAAGAAACAAAAAAAAAGGAAAAATATTGCGCGGTCCGAATTAATGTGTAATTTATTAATTTATCACAATCAAGAGGCACAGATTTTACGATGCAAAATAAATGGCATGCATATGAACACAACACGAAGTTCTGCCGTCAATCAAAGTAAATGGGAAAAATTGAAAATGAATTATCTCAGATTTTGTTGAGAACAAAAGCAGCAAATGAAAAACAACATCAAGAAAGAAAAGAAACAAAACATACGGAGCATTAAGCTAATTTATCATTTCAATGTAAGCTGAATTAATTTAAACAACACACCTGAAATTAAACTAATTATATTATTGATGAAGAAAACGAAACATTTCAACATATAAGTTGCATGTATCAATCTGAACTATTTTGACGAATAATTTAGTGACAAACAAAATGATTAAAACACATAAAACTGTAATCTGTATTGAATGCTTTATCAAAAACTTTATATACATTATTTAAAAATGTGAAATGAGAAACAAATCAACAATGGCATAAATAATTTTGAAATAATTGATTTCTATTAATTAATAAACAAGAAAAAACAACAACATTTGAATAGTAGTAATGTTTCTTTGTTAAAATAAAACAAAACACAAATTAATTAATTAATTAATTATTATTATTACATTATTATTGTATAGTATTTTGAGGTTGAAAGAGACAGAGAGACAGATAGAGAAAGGGAGCGAATAAATAGAAAAAAGAAAAAAAGATAGCCAACCAACACTCGAGCAACCAGAAGCAACGGAGAATGAATCAATAAATAGAAACAAATCATATGTACCTAATTGTAAGCGTAACGTATATATAGATAAAAACAGCAAATCAACGTTGATGATGAACAAAAAAAAAAGAAACATATGATGAATTCCGCAAAATGCCCCACTTCCGCCGCCCCCACCCCCATTCATACGATCCAACAGTGAGCATCACTGTATTGTTAAGCCAGTTTTATCAAATCGAGTTCAATTTAAATCTCTTTTATTTGGCTTAGAAACTCAAATAACGTGAAATAAAAGCCATCACAAATCAAGTTAATAGAAAAAAACTCGATCGTTCAAATATTTGCCTTGGTGTACTAGGGCTTTAAGAACTGTCGCTCTCAATACCAAAAATAAATTAAAAAAAAGTTCACGAAGAAAAAACCACAAAAGCAAACCTTAAAGACATATAAACAAAATAATCTCCTATTTTTTCACGTGAAACATTCATTTGCTCTCATAATATAGACAGTTCGAGAATAAAGGATACAAATTTTCTCCTTCCAACACAATCAATCGCACACAAACACTTACTTTAGGGGGTAGAAATTCCTCTATTCTTCATACCCAGCTCAATATTTGAACTCAAACATCGAACTCTCCAAAGTTTCACATCAATCCAAAAAAATAAGACCTTTGATTTTGGCAGTGAATACATACTTTTTTGTTTTCTTGTTTACGTTCATCACGTTTGTTATTCAGTATGTATTCAGGCTCTTGTTCTCAATGCATTCAACCATCGACAAAAAAAAAATCAAACACACACCAAAAAATAAGCTACATGCCATTGATCGTTTGAAGAATGTTTTTGTTTTAAATTTGAAACCATTAGAATATTTTCAAGAACAACCAATTTTTTTCTTGGTCATTGAATGTCTTTTGACGAGAGCCGATGTGACACATATAGACACACATTTAAAAAAAATATGAAACTAGTGTAAGAACAATTACTCATTTCACCCGAAATAGTTTCTTGTATTGATGGCGGCCACCAAAGAGAATGCTCATGAATTTTTTTTATGCATATATTGAATGGACGGCATGTGTTTGATTTGATCAAAATGCTCTAAATTATTTGTACATTCTTTTCGGCCAAAATGCATTGTGTTTCATAGTACAAACACAAATGTCGTCTCATGGTTTATTTTGTTCCATGAATCGAAAAAAAATTCATGGACATTTTTCTTTTTCTGTACGCACATCACTTGCCAATCAAATTTCTTCAAGTCTTTATGTCATCTCTTTGTAGGGTAATGGAAAAATCTTTTTACTATATTTTTATTCTTACGTAAAACAAGTGAATAAAAACTAAAAATTCGAATTTCGAAATTCAAAAAAAAAAAAAATGATTATAAATTTTATTGATGACAATTGATGATAATGGTCTTCAGTTGAATCGAAGACACATCAGAATGCAATTTTGAAACAACAAATGAAAAAACGAAGAATTAAGAGAAAAAAAAAGAAAATCATCTGCCAAAAAAACCAAAACAAATCAAACGCAAATCGAATCCATGCAGTAATAATAATGTAATAGGCGTACACACAATTAATTTTAATGTTGTTTAAGAATTTAAATGAAGAATGCAAAACAAACAAAATTATATAAACTCTTGGCGTAAATTGAATGTTGGCGTAAATTTTTTGTAGCAACGTGGGACAAATAAAAGTTCCACTAAATTTAAAATATAAATGAAAATGAAGAAATTAGCGAGAAGAAAAACGGCGTCGAAAAGAGCAACAACGTAGCATGCAAATAACACTTAAAATTACACTTACTGTATTTTTTCCCCTTTTTTGTATGGACATTTAAATTAAAAAAAAGCTAAATATTAATAAATATTACTCGTGCTAGAAATAATCGTACAAGAGTAAGGAGAAAATCCAACCCCAAACCATGCACTTAACAAGTGAAGAAAAATGAAAAAAACACAACAAGCGATTTCATATTAACTATTCATATTTATTAAGCTTTTCCGGGAGTGCTACATAATTCATATATTTTATGAAACAAAAACAAATTGAAATAAATTAATTCGAATGATATATCCATTGATATGCTCCACTTATTTTCTCGACGCAAAATCAAAACAATCAACCAAATATTTAAAGAATGAAAAAAAAATAACAATAAATGATTAACAATTTTTAAATGTGAGAAATTGAAAATAAAGATAATACATATGTAACATTTATTATAAGGCATAAAAAGCGGTAAACACGAAAAAATGGGAAACTGAGACCTAACTAATTGGCTTTTCCACAGATTTTTTTTTATTTTTTTTTTTTTTATAATTTTAAGAGAAGATAAAAAAACATGTAAACAAGCAACCATATTCTACTTTTGTAGGCAAAGACGATATATATGTAATTTTAAAATATCAGAACAACAACAACAAAAAAGAAACAACAAAATAGCATCAATAATTTGTCAAATTTGTGTCACATCTCCCATTTTCACGCAACACCTCTATGTGTGTTGAATGAAATGAAAAAAATAAAATAAAATAGATAATAAAAAATACAAATGATCTAATAGGTTTAATTCAAATTGATTTCTTTTTTGGTTTTATTGCAGCATTTTTTCTTCTTTTCTTAAAGTCTTTTCCAGTGACTCATTTTTTCTACTTCAAATGTTGATACATGTCTTTGAATTGCAAAATTGTGCTTCAAAGTGAACATTTATTGATTTAAAAATAAATAAAGAGTACATCAGCTGTGAGTGTTGAATCCTCAACATTCGGTGCGTAAATTTTGGACGATCTCTTGCGATAAAATGATGAAAGCGGCTGCCAGCATTGGACAACCATCACTTTCTGAAATCCCCAATATTTTCCATCTTGAAACATTTCTTCGCGCCAAAAGACGTAATTAATTATTTAATCAATCTTTAAAAAATCACAAGATCGAATCAATCGTCATGGCTTTTTAAGATCAAATCAATCGTCATGGCTAATGTAAAATATGATAGTGCAAATTAAATAGTGTAAGAAAGATATATTTTTGTTTTGTGTTTAATATTTATGTTAAAATATTGTGAATGGTGGCGCCACATGCAACTCTTGATTCAAATTGGATTCAACACAAAATAAGGTTAAATTCGAATTATTTGAACTGGATAAAATCAAACCACTGCGGATCTTCCATTATTTTTTTAGTAGAAATTTAACAATTGAATTCTCTAGAATAAATACAGCGTATGATACGGTCGCACACCATAGGTTGTTTTTACATACATTTTTTGCTGTATTTTGTATGACGGTGTTTCGCTTTGAAATGCAACCTTTTCATACGCTGTTTTTATTCTATAGCAATCAATTTCACAAATTTTAATGTTTGCTGTCTTTAGTATTTTTTTATTCAGTCAAATGTATGTACGTGAGATATATTTGAATTGATATCCAGTGATCATATTCAAATAATGAGACGAGAACGAAGAGCGAAGTATTTCGTCGATTGCGCAAATAAATAATTCAAAACTAAACAAAGTTCTACACTTGTTGCACAAATACACATAAAATCGTCCTATCAACACATTCTTTGGAAATGACAATCATGATATTGAATATGCGCCACAGATTTTTGACTGAACAAGTTTAAAGTTGAGAGGAAAAAGTGTGAGCGTGAAGAGAGAGAGAGAGAGAGAGAGAGCGATAGCAATAAATGTGTTTATCCGTTCGCTTGGTGTTCTTATGACTTTGTTTAATGTAAACACAAATATTTGCTGACTTCTACATTTCAGTAGCCGCGAACAGTATCGGTCAACAGCATCGCTGTATGTTAAAAAGAGATAGAATTTGGGTTTCATATTTCAAGCATCTAGACGAAATTCAAGAGAAATCGTTAACACTTATTGTTGCGGCGTTCACTGTGACAGTTTGATATCTGCTAGATTTGATTTTAGTTTGAATATATCGACGTTTCTATAGCGCCTGTGAAAACGAGTTAACTTTTCAAAACGATTTTATTCAAACGTGAGCCCTTTCATCTATCGTTCGTTTTACTTGATTAAATTTCAATTGTGTAATTATTGAATTGCCATCAAAACATAGTGAAGTGAATTGGGAACAACAAAATAATATCGTTTTTCGTTCGTAGCACGTGTCTCAGAATGGATGAAGCTATCAAATTGATTCGATCGTTATTGATCGTCTCTAGTGGGGGTTTATCGATTGATCAAATCAATAAAGAGTATCGTGAAGAGGTTGGCGAATGGATTCCATTCAAAAAGTTTGGCTTCAACTCATTGGAAGATCTTTTACGGGCATCTGGCCAATTTTCTGGTAAAAGAACAGCGGCTGGAACGATTGTGACGGCAAAACTTACTAAAAATTCGGCTCACATAATTGAAATGCGGAGCAATCAAAGTGTCAGCGCTGGCGAACGAAAACGACGCAAAAAGTTTGCAACGAAAAAAGCAAGTTTGGCGCGTCCACAAATAAGAAGCAATACAATGACATCAAGAACAAGAAACCAAACGTCAACAACAACAAGATTGAATTCAATGCCACAGCGCAGACCATTCAGTCAAAACGGAACGAAAAATCCAACGTCAATGGCTACTGTGTCGTATGCACCTATGGCTACTGTGTCGACGTCAAATCAACAACCAAAGCAACCAACTATTACATCGCACAATGAAAAAGTATCGCAAAATACAAACGAACAATGTGCAACTGTTGATAAGCCGGCTCACAAACAGTTGACATCAAATGAAAGTCGACCAATTGCAAACGGATATCTATCGCAAGTGGAATCGTCAATACCATCAAAACCAAAGCTGAAAATTAATCTGCAATCACGATTGGCCCCAAAACAAACAGAGTCAAAAATACCAGATGAACTGCCGTCATCATATTCAAATGATTTACAATCGCCATTATCTCCAAAACAACTCAATATCCGGTTAGTAAAACCCGAAGAACAACATCGAAGTGATTCCGAGCCAAAAACACCCGATGAAGAACCACCAATACAAACGTCAAAACGGTCAACGAAAAGCTACACACCAGCAACTACACCGGCAAAATCGCGATTAAACCCGGATTTATATGCGCGATTGGGGCCAAAAGTACGAGATATTGAGCAACGCTTGGTGGAGCCAAGCTTAGCACCAATGTCAACGTCAACGAAACCGTCTGGTGAAATTGCTAAAAAATTGACATTTGATGAACGACCGAAAACATTGAATTTACATGCTCGGTTAACAGCGAAACAACCATCACCCGTTGCAAATGAAATCGAAGAATCAACAATCTCATCATCAACTATTCCACCACGAAATAAACTTCTGAAAATACTTCAGGAATGTCAGAAGAAACATGAGGCCAAAGAAGAGTCACCAGAAAAAATAAAAAAGTCCATCGCAAAACGCTTGGTCACTTTTGACCCGAAAACGGTCATCATTGGCGGCGAAAGTATCATTGAAAATGGCCAACCAAAAACGGCAACACAAACAATTGAAGAAATGCCCAAATTGGTAACGAATATACACGCACGACTGCAACCGAAACAAACTCAACAAAATTCGGATATAGACCAACTAAGCGAAAAGGTAAGGCGAAATGGGAATTTTATCGAAATAAAAGTATAATCACGATTTTTCTATCTTCTTTCAGTTGAACGGCGTCAGTCTGATGGAAGTTGACGATACAACCGATTCACCGGAAAAGAAAGCGAACCTTCATTCACGACTGCAACAAAAGCAATTGGAAATGGACTGGGAAGAGATAAGCTGGACTCGTTCGGTTCGCCAAATTGGCAGCGGAATGCTTGTCACGATTCAATTTTAACAAACAAAAGCGTGTTAAGCCGACCAAATCGAAATTAAATGCGAAAACATCATTAAAAACAAATCAATTTTGTTACAATCACATTCAAAAATAATTAAATTATTTATTTGATTTTATTTTCCAACATTTTATAATTCAATCAAATAAATTAAACCTCTAAAAATTTATTGAACACAAAATCTGGCGTATTTTGCCTCATTTCTTATCCAATCTAGGTAGGCAGACACTTTTGTTGATACACTTGGCGTGTTAGTGGCACAGCTCAGTCCATAGCTTGTGATGCCAATTTGATATAGTAAATTATTTCCAGTGAGATCGGTGTACATCAAGGGGCCACCCGAATCGTAGCTGCATGTGTCTTTGCCACGTGAGTAAGTACAAAATTGTCCGGATGTTATTCGATTTGGATAGGTTGCTTCACAATTCGATTGACTTGTTACGTCCAAAAATACTTTTTGTAGTCGATGCGAAGTAGGGCCTCCGTATTCAATTGTACCCCACCCTAAGCGATGAAAGAAACAAAAATTGACAAAGTAAGCGAAAGAAAGAAAATTGAAAACAACCCACCCAATGCTTCAACACGACGACCTTCAAACGAAGCCGATTGATATCTAAAAAGAAACGTCTTATCAGCATTATTTTCATTGATTTTTTTAATGCGTCAAATTAGTTCAGTACTTAAATGGAAGACAAACAGGTCCAACGGCCGAATTGAATGCAATGGGATGACGTGTCATTACAATTGCAATATCATTTATATCCTTTTCTGACGAATAACTCGGATGTTTTACTGCTGATACAATCTCATACATTTTCGAATATGGCGTTTCCGATGCTAGCGATAAATGAAAAAATAAATTGATTGTGATCAAATTGAAAATATTCAGATTGCATTTTTTTGGCATACGAGTGCGATAATCATGTTCGCCAACCAATAATTCTATATCGTCTGCATACATTCCTGGTGTATTCACACAATGAGCAGCCGTCAATGCATAATATTGATCAATTATCGTGGCTCCACACTGAAGTTTACCATCGCGTTTCGTTACAATCGCTAATAATTCGACAAAAAAATGTCTTAGAAATATGGAAATGGTTCCATTAAGAAGATCATACCTGCCATGCTTGGAAATTCATTTATAACGGTTTCAGTGCCGCCAACAATTCGTGACTTTTTCTTTCGACCACAATCACAACCTTTTAACGCATACAATTCACATCGATAGAAACCGCCCGAACTTTGTGGTGGCGACAATAAAGCTATGCAAAAAAAATATTTTGAATAACAAACATTTTCTTTTCTTTTCAAAAATTCTATAATTAAATTACCCACGACAAGCCTTTCGGAAAATGATTTCGTTGTAAATGGTCCGGAACAATAGCGTTCACTATCAGCCAAATTGATATTTCCGGCTCTAGACACTTGCAAACGATCACCCGAACATCGATCAGACTGTAATCATTGAAAGTTTAATGAAGAAATGCAAAATCGAAAATTCTAAATTAAAAGAAGTGTTTCTCTTTCAATTTTCCTTAACGATGACAGCAACTTTATTACAAAAATTCAAATATTTATTGATTGATACTTACAAACGGTAAATTGACTTCAGTGCATTTTAACGTGATTTGATTTCCAATTGGAGCGGTGGCAGTGTAACGGCAAAATGTGCCCGGTTTATATAGATTCGGTGAATTTGGTGATGTAAATGTATAAACAACTCCAGGAGTTAATTCTTTGTAAAAATCACAACCGTTAAAATTTTGCGCATATATCCATTTGAATACAAACACTGCAAAAATATATACAAAAAGTTTCTATGTAATACTATAGATGCTATGATATGAAATTTAATCGCACTTTTTTTATAGTGCGCAATACGCAAAAATCATGCTATTTACAGAAAACAGTTGTTTGGTTATATGTTTATCTATTTCTTTTTCTTTCGTAAACCGCAAGCAAAGCAACAAAAAATGTGAACGTCAATCATAACAAGGTATTTATATCGTATGAACAGTTGGTTGTGATTAAGGAATTAAATAAACACTGGACATATTATTCATTCATGAATGTACACACACACAAATGTTTTAATTCCAAAAATGTTGTTGTACATTTGACGCACTTACAAAATATGACGATATATTTCGATGATGAATTAATCATCATATTGCATTGATGACTATTGAGCTCAGCTAATTAGAAATATCACACAATTTCTTATAAATGATTTTACTTTAAATGAACAAAAAAATCCTCAGAAATTCAATGAACTCCGAAAGGAAAATGCAAACCAAAATGAATTGAAAAAGTCCAACTGCTGAGCGCTGTTTTGAATAAAAATGGCACGAATATTTGATTTTCCATAGATATTTATGTAGGAATAGAACCGAGAAGAAATCGTCTATTGACGAATCACATTGCGTGCAATATAATTTAACCCTCATGGCCAGGAAACTCTTTCATATTCAATGTTTCAACGAAAACAATAACAACAACAAAATAATAGGTCGTGCATATCCAAATACCGGTATATATATACGGTGTAAAATAATAAATGTCAGCCTTTTATTACGTGTTAAATGGGCTGAGATTAAGAAAAGTTTGATCAACAATTAAAGCCATTTCGAAAGCCGGAATGTGTGATTTCGGTATTGAATATCCCGAGAAATGACTTGAAAAGATTATTGTCTTCATATTGCATAAAAATGTGTGTGGATATTTATACAGTATTGTATACGGTGACCCAAATTTGAATAACCTGGGAGAACATTTGTTTATACAAATGTACTACATGAAAATGAAAAATACTGAACAAATATATATGTATATATATATAACGAAAACACATTGAAGACATTCATCAGGTTGATGATAACCTAGTTGGCAAATGGTAACATCGGTGACGCGATTTATCATCAAATAAAAACAATCCCGAGAAAATAAATGTGTTCACGCTCTAAAAACGTTTTATTTTTATTTTGATAAAAAAAAGAGACGAAACTATTGCTTGAAATGTGATTAAAATTTAATACGATTCCTATAATAATATCATATTTGGATCATAAAAAAGAAGTAAAAGTGTACGATTTTATCGAAAAAAATAAAGAAACGAAAGAGAAAGAGGGAGTACCCTTGAATGCGAATTGTGAAATATATTTTTTTCCTTTGAGTTTATCGTGTACCCATAACACAATGCAATGTTTATCGAATCAGTCATAAAAATGTTTTTGATAAAATTGAATTAGGCGTAGTATAAGTAAATTTCTATAAAAAAAATTGAATTAAAAATAAATGCTTTATGACCAATCGATTTGATAGGCCGTGTTTTTACAAAGATATTTTTGTTCATTGCAATTTATCGCCAGAATTTCTTTCTTTTGTATATCATTTAGTTTAAGTAATTTCAAGTTTCGCGCTAGGAATATCGATGTTTTGATCTAGTACTACAAAAACAAATGTGTTTCTGTTGTGCAAAAAGAATATTTTATTTGATTTTATTTCATCATCGCCACCAAACAAATCATATTCAGATGATTCAAACCTGCATCATTTAATTGTGTTCATTTCCGATTGCCCATTAATTTCAACAGAAACTTCAGCTGATTGCGACGTAGAACAAAAAAACGTTGAATAAAAAAAGCGAGAGAACTACATCGACGTACTAACATTTTGATTAAGTGTCATGATTCATTGTCATATAACGAAAGCCCATTTTGTGTCAAATATTGTACGCACACATACAGAGGCCAGACACACAAAAATAGTGTGTATGTGTACCACATGCAAGGCCCCTAGATGAACTCAGTGAAGTGTCTCCAGTGTGTAAAAAAGAAAGGAAATCGAAAACAAATGCGCGCCCGTGTGTAAGTGCGCTGCTTTTTTTGTCGTGAAATAAACACAAACATAACACGTACACACGCAACCACCACATCGTATTCACACTTTAATTTTGATTCTCTTTCTTTCTATTGAGACTGACAGAGAGACCTATGAATATAAATACACAAAACTATATGTATGTTATTCTCTGTATGTTGTGTGTTTTTTTACTTCACTCTTCACTTCTTTCGACTTCATGAACACGACGCACTGACAATTTGCCATCAACTTGTGAATCGTGAATTTTTAAGAAGAAAAAAAGGAAATGTCGTGATAAATAGAATTTCTTCTACGCTGAGAGTGTATTTTTTTCGCCAGTGTGTATATGTATAAATAATTTTTTTATTTGTTAATTTTCGGTTTTTGTTTTATTTTTCTCTTATTCCTTGACGAAAGAAACAATAACAACAACAACAACAACAATAAATTGAAGCAAAAATACGAATTAAAAAAGGAGAAGAAAACACTTTTGTTTTTGAACATTGTGATGTTTGCACCATCGCTTATTTTAAGAATCTCTCTCAATCTTCCCCGTAATAGTTCAAATATATTGAAGGAAAAGTAAGTGATAAATCAGATGGCTTGATGCAAACAATATGTACATACACAAAATTTGAAAAACACAAGAGACGGACAACTAAAATGAGTGAAAAAAAATATATTGTGTGCGTTTCGATGAAGATTCTCTTTCACTAGCGCACAACATAATCAAAAAGTGTTTGTTTTTTTTTCCTTCTATCGCAACGATGAAAAACAATTCGATTAACAAGAAATAAAAATTCAGCATTAAAGTGACACATACACACACACACACACACACACAAATTAAAACAATTGGAACTTAAATCGACGAAATGTTTATAGTGTAAAATCATATATATTTGTGTGTGAATTAAATAGAAGTAATAACAGTAAGCAAAATTTTTCAATTTGGCTTGCAAAAACGTTTGCAAAGTGATTTTAATTTGTGGTGTAATCAATAATAATAGAAGTCGAAGAAGAACTGGGAGAGGGAAACAATTGAAAGAAAACAGTTGAAAAATATTTGCGTTTGCCGTCATCAGAAATCAACCGAAATGGATAGCATGATATCAAATTCAACATCGAAAATTGTGAATATCGTCGCCACTGTCATCGTTGTAAATATCTTAATGTAAACGAAATTCACGGTGGCCAGCCAAATAAATTCATATAATTCGGTGCGTATTTATCGTTGTCGTCTTTTTAAATTCCATTTCAGTTGCGATGAGATAGACAATATTTGATATATTCGAAAGTGTATTACCGTGTAAAATGTGTACAGAGAAAAGGAAATACGGATTATGGTGTATGTGTGTCGACAGGAAATATTGAAGAATTTATTTTTCTACGTTTTCTCTTTTATTTTATCGGCAAATGGGAATAAGCAGGGGAAAAATCCATTTAGTTGAATCTCATTGAATTTTAAAATAGTCAACTGGTGTCATTTCTTTATACAAATATGTTTATCAGCTATTTAAGCTGGCCAGAGATCCTAAGCGCATACCGAGACAGTCAAAGTGAGTGCAGGAATGTTGAATAAGAATGAGCGCGCGCTCGCGCGTGTGTGTGTGCGTGCATGTATGAGGTACATTCAAATTCAACAACAACAATAGAGATTACAAGATATATGACAATTAAAATTATTTTGCATTGTGTGACTGATTTTGGCTGAAGATTACTTTCGAGAAGTCAATGATTTTTTTTCCACTCACTCTCCATCTCAATATGTGTGAAAATACAATGTAGCAGAGAAAGTATGAATGGCTAATAATCTTTTAATTGGATTGTGTACAATTTTGGGTTTGTTTGTGTTTGAGAATCGTAGTTGCGTTGGAGAGAGAAGGAAATAGTCGTGGGGGTCTATCGGCCGTAAACAATTTTAAATGACAAAAGTAGAAGGAAAAAAACGACAACAATTAATTCGATACAATACACACAGGCATACACTCAAATCATCTTGATACTTTTAAATAGTTCAGCCCGGAGAATTCGATTATAGTTTGAAATTAGTCGTCATTTCAATTCAATTGTCGGAAGTAATTTATTATTTTTAAAATGACTTTTGTTGAAAGAAAAAAAAGTTCATTGAAGATTTCCATTTGCTATTGGGTATGTTATTCTCGTACACGACACAAATATTATTTTTTTTTCTATTCGTGTTGATTATACAATATGTGTGATACCATGTTTGTTATTCCTTTTAAAATATCGTAAAACGATGAGTGAGTGCGCTTGTTCATTGTTTTAACACAATTTAAACTAGTGCAGTCGATTTTTCATGTATATGTTTTCTTCTGGTTGCACAAAACAGCAACAAAAAAATCGTTTTTTATTTTGTCACCAAAAACACATTGGTTTCAGGATTTCGGCAACAATACGCTCATTGCATATTTTAAATCAAGCAAAAAAAAAACCGAGATTGGAAAATTATGATAACAATAAGTATACATTAGATACATGCTCACATTCAAATTCATATATATACGACACACACGGAGGTTCTTTTTTCTCTGTTCACTTTTTCCAAGGTTGCTTGCAAAAACTATACAACGCGTACAATGTATATCGGTATCAAGTATAATGTCTGACTGGATGCATGTACGATTCGTTTTTCTCCTTCTCTCTTTCTCTGCAATCGACAATATTTTTCCCGCGAGGAAAACTTTGCCAATATCAAAATAGACAACTGTTGCTAAAAAAAGTGTTGCCCTTCATACCACTGATTGAGCGTCAATGCATTGAAATATCGATCTTTTCCATGCAATGGCCTATATTTGTTTCTTTTCATTTATTTTTTGCTTTACCTTCATGGTTGTTGTTGTCTCCCTTTTTTTTTAACTATATCTACACTACGGAACGAACAATTAACAACAATTAATCGTTATTATAATGAATTTTTTCCCCATTGTTGTTGTTGGTGTTGAATATAAGGTATCGCTTTTCAATCGTCCGGAAATCTTATATTTAGCGAACTAAACATTATACGGAAAAGAATTCCAACAAACGACATCGGCGGAAGTGAAAGAAAAACAAGAAGTATTTTTTTTTATTTCTTTCGAATGATTTAAGCGGATGAAAGTAATGGAATCATTCCTATTGTAGCGTTAGATCTCACTTTGAGCTTAGCATTGGAAATAATTAAACCAAATGCATCATCATCGTTGTCGTCGTCTTCATTGCAAAAGTGCTACTCGTGTTTTTTTTTCATGAATAATCCAATTGTATTGTCTTCATGTCATTCCCTTTTTTTCTGTTGATTCATTTCCTCCATCTGTGGAAATGGCATTTGTACAATCTTTTGATGATGTTTTGACAAGCATCTTAAATTGAGATAAAGAGTGAATTGGAACATGTGGTACCAATTTAATTGTAATACTGATCTACCGAAATAAATTTATGGCTAAATTTTTCGACGTTTTGCCATTTGTTGCTTTAGGTCAGAATGACGTGATGAATGAAAAGACAAAACACAAAAATTATATCAAATATTAACTATCTCTATCTCACTCTCTCTCTCTCTCTCTGCGTCCCCATTTCCATCTCTAATTCAATCCCTTTGACATTTCCAACAGAAATGAATCGGCTTAAAATGGATGCGTATCATACGTTCACACAAAATCATAGTCCTCCAGCAAGCCCCAGAGAGTGAACGCAACGAGCGAAAACAAATCAAGAGGAAACAGAAGTAGTATAAGAAGTAAAACCATGTTTAAAGGAAATTGAACGATTAAATGTAAGCTAAATTAACGATTTTTCTGAACTCTAATGCGAAAAAGAAAAAGAAATAACAATCAAATCCAAAATCGAATCAAATCGAATTGAGTGAATTATTACGAATGGATTCGCACGAAACGGATTCGAAGTCGTCGTCAAGGAATTTAAACAGCAAATTAACCGAACAAGTAGTCACCGACCTCTCGATTGATGCCGATTCGAGTGCGACACTAACAAGCAGCAGTAGCATTGCCAATACGAACGAACACAAGGGCAATGGCATTACTATTCAATGTAAGCATTTTTTTTCAATCAATATTTTTTGTTTTTATTATTATTACAATTAACAACTCAATTAATACATTTACTTTCCCAAACATACAATGTTATATTTTTATTTGGTGCCTAATTTAAAAATCATGACCAACTAATTTCGTGTTATATTTTCTGGTTACACAGCCAATCACGAACACAATGTACCTGATAATTCACAGCAATCGCATCATGCGCATCAATCGAAAGTGCCACATACCCGATCTACATCGATGACCGGCGATATGGTGACCAATATTGCATCCACATCTGATGTGGCCACAAACAGCCCTGGCATATCATCATCACGTAAAAGTAAACAACGTAAATCCGATTCATCATCATCGTCACCAGCCATGTCACCATCATATATCCAAAAAAAAATACACTGTGTAAATAAAGTAGGTGAGTCTCTCCATTTGCCCAGGCAACCGAACCTGACAACCAAAATATTGCCAAGATTGTTGTCAATACAAAATCCGACAAATAAAATTTGAATCACTTATCAATAGTTGATTTTGAATCGATTCTTATCGAAATTTTCTACATTTTTCGTTTATTTTCTTGAAAATTTGTAAAATGTTAAAGACTATAATTCTGTTTGTTTGTTTTGTGTTTACTCCGATTAGATGTGATGCATTCAAATGACAATAAAGAGAATGTTCCTGGTATACATGGCCAGTATGGAAGTCCAGTGGAACATCGTTTGGATTCGCCAAAGTATGCGCTCCAACAAAATTCACCAAACACACCATTATCAAGTTATAAGAGTCCACCAAGTACACATTCATCACCAATGTATACCGCACACGAGCCCCGTACCGATTGTAATATTTTCACATATTCACCCCTTATCACCGAACCGTTCAAAAACTCGACATACTTTCATTTTCCCGATGTTGACACACCGTCACGTGAGTGTACATCCCATTCAATTTTGCTTCACAACCTTTTTGCATTTTTATTTACTGAACATTATTATTACCATTTTGTAAATAAAAATAATCCATTCGTTCTCATTTCGTTTCATATTGGATTTGTCCATTAGCTTTGGCAACATCACAAGAGGCATCTCGAGCCCATACTCAACAACTGTCGGCCACTACGTTCAGTACCCTCAACAATAACAATGTGATCATTGCAACGGATGACAAGCAAAACAATCAAGCCACTTTAATAAACAACAACAATAATAACAACTACAATAGAAGCAATTACAGCAGGTAACGATGGTGTTTTTTGGCATTCGATTTTAATTTGACTCGAAGACATAGAGCGAAACTTGACATTTCTTCTTCTTTTTTTCCTCTGCATCAAAGTAGTAACATTCAAATTGTAACATCGGATGAATGCTGTAGCAGTGCACCAAAGCCAAAAGCAAAAGAGACGGACGGGCGACGAGCACGTTTAAAGTCAATTTCTTTGGATTCGGATAGTGCCAAAATGGTGGAGGGGAATCTTTGTATTCCAGTTGAAGAGCTAATGGAACGTGCAATGGCTCAAACGACATCATCATTTGATGAAAGTACACCATTTCATTCGCCGGCCAAATTAACATCGGCCGAACATCAATCGCATACGAAATGCTTATCAAAAAATATCAATCATTTGGTATTGGATTTAACGATTAAAGATGATTCATTGCCAACGGTTGATTATCAATCGTCGCCAAGCGACACAAAAGATGAACATTTCAAATTTACATTGTCAAGATCGAAATCGACAACACCAAAAACACCAACACTCACACAAACTCGACAAAAGGCCGTTTCACTGGATTCAGAACCATCAATTAAGTATGATAGAGAATGTACGATGTCGGGCATGGGCCCATCGGAATTGATGGGACCGCATCAATCCGGTGTTGGCGGTCAAATGGCAATGATGCGAAATAAACCACATTTATTGTCGAATTTTTTGTGTGTTGAAAGTAATGCATCAATGTCGGTACCGACCACACCACGACGTCAGCAAATCCTTAAAAATTCATTGAGCAAATTGAATACCAACAAAGGGATTGGACATCGAAAATCTGGTTTTGCATCGAGCGCTGAATATTTTGCGAGTAAAAAAGCGGCCGAACGTAAATGTAACGAAAAATTACAATTGAATCCAGAAACTGAGCCGATATTAGAGGGAACGGTGGTTGATTATTACGATGATGTGTATGCATGCGATCATGAAAATACGAGCAGCTTTGAAACCAGCACAGACGATGTCGATTGTGACATAATCTGTGGGTCGGCAAATAGTTTAATTACCAATTGTGGCATCAGTGGCAGCGGTGGCGGAGGCGGTGGCGGAGGCGGTGGCGGAACAAACAATCATAGTAATAATAATACGGGCAGCAATTTTTTGGGCTTTCGAAGTAATATGAGTGCGGCCGGTCTAAGTTTATCAAATTATAGTTTATCAAACTTTCAAGGTTCACATTGCAGTCTAACACGTTCCAATTACAATATATTTGGAATGACGACGGCAGCAGCAGCGACAGCAACATTGACGGCTGCATCATCTGGCGCTGTAAATCAATCAATAAATAGTCAAAATGTACCTAAACCATGTTTGGCGACCAGTAAATTTTTTGCACCATCGACAGCGACAACGGTCGCGCCATCATCATTCACATCATCGACAACAGCACATCAACATTATCAACCGACGACAATCAGCAGTAATAGTACAACGATACCGAGCTCACGATCAAATTTTTGCATGAAAAAGAATTTACTTCAACGTCGCGGTTCGAATACAAGTTTAACATTAAATATTGTTGGTGGTGCGCATACAGTAAATAGTAGTACACAAATGCAATCGACATTGAATCGTTTCAATAGTCATAATTCATTGAATGTTATGAGCAGACAATTTGATATGCAACGTGCCAATACAACATTAGCAACGACTAAAAAAGGTTTATTAGAACGACGAAATTCAAATGCCAGTCTAACGCTACAATTGGAATGTCGATCGAATATACAAAAACGTGCGCTCAGCACATCAAATTGCTATTTTCGCGGTTCGGATCTAAGCTTAAACAGTAGCAATAATTTTGAATCTCATTTAGAAGATCATCGAATATGCACAATGTGCGGTGGTGGTGGAATATTAAAGAAAACAACAAAACGATCAACATCGGCATCGGGATGCAATAGTGATAGTCGACGCGGTGTTCAAACACATTATCAAACTCACGAGACAAATTCGGAAGATGCGCTTGATGACGATGACGATGACGACGACGACGACGACGACGATGACGATGACGATGACGATGATGATAAAAAATCAATCGGCTATGATGACAATCGAACAGCAGCGAATCGTACGGGTTGTCGAAAATTTTTTAGTTCGGAAAATTTAAACGTTCATAATACATTTTCATTGTGTCAACCGCCAATAAAAACGAGTTCAGTGGTCGATTTAAATCAATCGAATAGCGAAATGGACGATGTTTATGATGATCAAGATACAACATATTGCCCATGTACAACATCAATCATACGAAATATCACAACAAAACCATTAAGCCCACAAACCACATCCGAAGATTTTAAAATTTATTTGGCAAATATACAAATTTTACAAAATGCATCGAATATATTAACCGATCATAAATTAACAACGCTTAGCAATGTATTTAATCGAAGCTATGGCAGAATGGCTGCAATTGATGGCCGAACAAATGTCAGCAATGATGACGATGACAAAACATGCAAATCGTGCGAAACAACGTGTACAATTTGTAAAACATGTAAATCATGTCTAACTAAATGCCATTGTGAACAGAATTTTCTACTTACCAATTTGCATCAGGAGTTCTGGGACTTACCAACCAATTACCAAGAGAAACCGCTTGTGTTCGGCTCACAAGTGAAAAATCGATATAAAACCATTTTGCCAAACGAACATTCGCGTGTCATTCTTGATGCGGAATTCGATGCAACTAGTCAAGCAAGAGAGCAACCCACATCTGAATTGTACATCAATGCCAATTATATTAAGGTGAGCTCAATACTTTTCTGTCCGTTATGAATTTCCATTTAATAATTTTGGTTTTTCATTTTCTGAATAGGGTCCTGATTATACTCAAAACTCTTACATTGCCACACAAGGACCGTTAACAAATACCATTTATGATTTTTGGCTAATGGTTTATCAAAATTACAAGAAAAATCTTAAATCAAATGGTGGCAATGTGGATACATTGCCGTTTCAACAAAAAATCGCAATGCTCACCGATATAATTGAAAATGATGAATCAAAATGTGCAATTTATTTTCCACAAAATGTCAATCGATTTCTATGCTTTCTAAGCAATGATGAGCGACGCCAAAAAGATAGCCAACAATCACAAAATCAACTGGATACATATTTTGCGGCCCATGAATGTGAATGGTTTGATTTAGCGCAACCAAATGAAATTCATACGGAAGTAATTGGTGAACATTTGCTCGATTTTCCAAAGTTTAATTTCAATTTTTTTGCTATAAAAACGGTTGATTGTCTGAACAAAGGCGGATACACAATACGAAAATTTCATTGCATGTATCATACATTTGAGCGACAAAATAAGGGCATAACAGTGATTGATAGTGATGTAAATGTGGCATTAACACCGGCCGTTGAACACGAACGTAAAGTACAACTTTTTGTTGTATATCATTATTGGTTTCCACATTGGCCCGATCATCGTTCGCCCGAAAATGTTGACGTCGTACTCGACATGTGTATTAATCTTATCGATTCGGATTGTGAACAAGAACTATTATACGCACATAATGATCTCTCAGCCAATGACGCAGCAGCTACGAAATTTAAAACTGGCGAAGATTCAACACAACAAAGTGCGAATGAACTTCAAATGAATAAGATACACAGCATGCCAACGATGCTAAATCAAATACCATTCAATGGAACTATTCCCGTTATTCATTGGTGAGTTTTTGTTAAAATTTGATTTGTTTTTTTTTTTTTAGGAAAATAAAAAATTCTTTCTTCAACCATTGAATTGATTTCAACTTAAATGTTTTATCTTGGTATCGTTTTCTTTTTCAGTTCGGCTGGGATTGGGCGAACTGGTTGTGTGGCAGCTATTTTGAATGGTTTACGTCAATTGCGTTTGAGCTATTTATCGTCGTCAACGTCATCATCATTAAATGCTGACACAACAACGAAACATGCGTCCGTCGATGTGTTGGGCATAGTAAGCAATTTGAGGCTACAGCGTGGTGGAATGGTGCAAAACAGTGAACAGTATGAGTTAATTCATCGAGCTTTATGCCTATATCATCAACGCTACTTATCGAAATAAAGCAAACCAACCATTTTTTTTGATGTGTTTTTAAATTGATGTCTGCAATGAACAAATCGAACAAAGAACAATCAAGAGTTTATTCAAGTATGGATATGCTACAATATTATTTTCTAAAATAAAAAAATCGTGATGTTGACAGCGCCAAAACAACAACCCGACCGAAATTGATTACCGATAAAATGTTCGTTTTGGTTTATGTCGGTCAATTCGTCATTTTACTGCAATAAAATTTTGGCATAAACAAAAAAAGAAATCAATTCGAATACCCAAATGAATGAAAACCAGATACTTACACAAAAAAAAATATGAATATACATTTGAAATTTAGAGACATTTGTGTACATGGATATTTTAGTGAAATAGAAAAAAAAAACCGAACCTAAAACACTAATTCAGTGTATTAATATGATGAATGTGTGATTTTCCTATTACTTTTTTTATATCCATATACTGTATGATATACAAATGTGAATAGAAACAGATTCAAATTCCATTGCTACATAAATCTTTGATAAATCAAGGAACACAATTGTTGGATGTACATCATCTCTTTATGATATTGGGGTTATTTTTTGTATAGATAATTTCATGTATATTTTCCGTCATATCCGTGTATGATTCGCATCCAAAATCAGTTCTTCATCATCCATACACGCAACGGCAACGCCGAATATCGAGTAATTCTCAGATCAAACGAGTTCTAATGATTATGAGTTTTATGATTAATTCAAAACGCAATATCGAATGATCGCTAAACGAAAAAGATTACCGTATATTTCTTATTTTTGGCAAGAGAACTTTTTGCAAGACTTGATAACAATTTTTGAATATATATATTGACAATTTTTCCAAAGTTTATTTACAAACACAGAGAGGACTTTTTTGTTAATGAAAAAATGACGTTTGAGTATGATTGACTTAAAAAAAAAAAAAATAATAATAACCTGTGGCATTTCAAGTGATCAAATATGTTTTCATTGTAGAATTTTTGTCGATTTTTTTTTCATTTTTGGATTAAGTCACAGTCAAAAACCAAATTAGAATCATTTTCGTTTATTCTTTTTGTGAATTCTTCATGTGCCACGAATACTTATCCAAAATGAAACTAGGCATTTTTGTTTTTCGTACATTTTTTTTCGGTTAAAATTTCCGACTTCTGTCACATGGTGAATCTTTTTTTTGGTGTTATGTCTTGCTTTTTTGTGTAATATTTCTATAAGGAAAGTAAAAAAATTGCCGCCACATACTTTAATGCGCCGATTTTTTCATATCGTTTTTTTGGAACATTGGTGGAAGACATTTGAATCAGATGGAGAGTCAATGAGATTATATAATTTTATTTATTTATACAAAAACAAAAGAAAAAACTTGTCATTTTTTGAAAACATTTGAAATTCTTCCAGTTTTTCTCTTTACTTTTTATACCATGGAAAAATAAGAGTATGTTGCACAGAGAGATATTTCATTGATGATCAATCTTAATTTCGATTTCCGTAATTAAGTGATTCAATTGTAATTTTGCCAGAATTGACTGATGAATTTGTTAGTTCAGCTGTGAAGAAGTCGACCTGTACTTTTGATGCTATCATTTGTGAAAATCAGTGCCTAGAATAAGATTCACAAAGACACATTTTTTTTAAAAATGTCCCTCTCCATTCAATTTGAATAAACACATTTTCCCAGTTCTTTATTCACTGGTTCTAAAAAAGACCCAGATTAATTACCTTTTTGAGTGGCTCTTTCATGTGATGCAACATCGGTTTTGAGTCGATTCGACATTTATTCGAATCAAAATATCATAAGGAACGACAAATAAAATTGAATAGGATTATAATATAGATGGGAGGAATGAAAGTTGGTTTCGTCGATGGTAAAACCACATTTCTGTATGGCTATGTATGTCAATTTAATTATACCCGATAAAAAAAAATATATTGAAAGAAAGTATGTGTAATAGAAAGAATATTTAATTTATTCAGGAGCATCGGTTGTGGTGGCTATATAAACCATAACTTGTTCGATAAAAATTGCTACTTATTTTAGGCACTGATACGAGTATTGTTCATAAGAGTAAGGAAATAGAAAGAAATGAAAGAAATATATATATATACTTTATCATATAGACAAATTGAAAATGAATGATTTAAGAAATTACATAAATATATGGAGAATATATTATAAATGGAAAGTGAAATGAAATCACTGTAAACAAACCTGTACCTACTGTGTGAATTTTTAAATAAATGAACAACAATAATTCAATGAACTCCGAAATTGTGTTTTTTTTTTAATTTCATTTTAAATTCTCATTCAAATAGCTTTAGAACTGAATAATCCATAAAAAAAACTCAGGGAGGATATTATGTAATCGGTAAATCAAACATGAGGGTTCGAAAAGTGAAGAGCAAGGTCTGCACAGGAAAGATTCAAGGGTAAAAAACAGTTTTGAACAACGTGTGTAAGTTATGCACACATAATTGAAGGTTTTCTTTTGTATTGTGTACTGTTTTTGTCTATCTCCACACGGCTTCTCATATCTTATTATTAGACATTTATATCTCATCATTGGAATATCAGCACAGGTGGCTAAATCCACATTCTGAATTCTAGCTAATGTTATCGTTGTTGTATAAAAGTGATAGTGTAAATATTCTGTTTTTTATACCTTGTTTTTCATAATAAAAATTAAATTGCTTCTGTAAATTATCGAATTTCTAATCTATTTCTGTAACCCAACATTCCTCAAACGACATTATCAATTCGAAAAATTTAGCGAGCAAGCGATCGTATGATTCGTAAAATGATGAAAAATTGCTATAAATATTAGATCAAGACAAATGAAAGTCAGTTTATTATAACTATTCTTGAATCAAGATGTTATTTATTCGAAGTTTTTTGGTGCTGGCTCTGATCATTTTAGTCGCTGTCATATTGTAAGTATTAAGTATAGTTGATGAATTGTAAAAATGTATGAAAAATTTTAAATAATGTTATAGACCGATTGATGGTGGTAATATTCCGGAGCTAACTGATCTCATTGAAAAAGCGTATGTATTTCTTCTTTTGTTCAAAATAATTTTCTAGATGAAGAATTTCTTGATTTTATGATTTTAGAGAAGCTGCAGAGAAAGTCCTACAACGAAATATTCAATTACGGCATGAAATTGAAGAGATAATTAGTGAAGCGTATGTTTCATTATTCATTTTACATTGAGATCAACATCCATTTTTATCAAAATTTTAATATTTCAGAAAAAGTATTGCTGACATCGTTGAGACGTAAGTATTTTTGATGACTATTATTTGAACTTAGAAATAGAAAACTTTTATTGTAAAATAACTCCCTTTATATTTTATTAATTTCAAAGTGCTTCAAATAACTGAACATAAATTCATACTTTTAATATATTAGAGGAGCAAATGCGTACGCCTAATTAATTATAAAGTCTATTCGGTCAATATTAAGTAAACTGAAACCCTTTTAGAGCCACTTCAAGTGATCCGTCCACATCAAGGAGCAAAGAGCGGCATGGATCAGGAAATGACGATGTCGATAACTTAATAGATCAATGGCAAACGGGCAATCTTCAACTAGCTGTGTATGATTCATTTATTTCTCAAGCATATCCAACGAAACAATTAATTCAATTTTTTTGATATTCCAGACATAAGCAACGTATAAACAAAATGTGAGTAAATTTATTTTCATTTTCTTACCATATATGTGATACTTTTGAAAATTTCTCTGTAAAAATTAACAACATTTGTTCTATTTTGTGATTCTGATGAATAGCAATAAAAATTTGCGTGATATGAAGTAAGTGTAGAAATAATCTAATATCAAATCTGTTTGAATAATAAACTTAATTTTTTGCACCAGACAAGAGATGAATAAAATTACGAAGTAAGTCACTTTTGTTGGAAAATATATCGAGCTTCAGTCTTTAAGCCAAAGTTATTTTAAACACAGGGATTTTACGCCAGAGGCTAAAGAAATTGTTGGAAAATTGGAAGCGGCACTTGCGAAATTTCATAGTTTACCTGTGATGGGATTCACACAGGGACCCTTGAAAAATATTGATCCGAAATTTATAAGCCACCTGGGTAAAAATAAAGGGCAATCTAGCAAAAAGAAAGGATCAAATAAATGAAACTAACTCGATTTGAATTAAACATATCATTTACTTTTTGTTTAACTCAACAAACTGTATGAATTGTTTTTTGAACTTTTAAATAAAATGTTTCAATTCAGTAAAATTCACAAGAAAAAACCGTCGTTTCATATGAATTTTGAATATAGGGAGTATCTGAAAGCAAGAATTGATAACTTCTGTCCTTAAAACACGCATGCGTTTTAAAATAGAACAGGTGTGACATGCCTATTACGATTATTTACTTAAAATTAACTCGATGATATTTGGTAAATGTAATACTCAGAATGAGAAATAAATTAGAACAGTAAGTAATTTGTTATCATCGCATGTTTGATAAGAATTTGAATAATTTGGTCGATCTTCTGTTGTTAACGTGACGCAATTATGAAACAATCGAACGAAACTCTTTTGAAGCACGTAATTACCGATTTAAAAAAAACGTTCAGTGAAAGCGATTGTATTCACATAACAATAATAATATTGGTATAAACGTGAAATAAAACGATGAACTTTTGGAACGATTTTTGAGTCATCGTGTCATTTTTACAACATTTTTTTTGTGCTGAATCGAACCAAAAGCTTTGAAATTTCAAAAATAAAACGAAAAAATACACCATAGTTTCGATCTAGCGATAAAGTTTTGATTTTTAAAAAAAGTTCTGAAATGAATTTTGATTTCGTTCAAATGGAAAAATGAATTCCAAACTGTGCTTTTGATCAGATTAATTTTATTCTTATTTGAATATTGTAGCTAAAATCATGCATATAAGCATATCAATGAACATCAGCACCGCAAAAATAATAAATTCACACGTATTGGAATCGAAATAATTAAGCAATAAACTTGATAATCAGCGATATTTTAAGATGATAACAAATCAAGAAAAAATAATTTAAAAACTGAGCATTCTCTTTGCGAGATAGTGCGGGCTGATGTATGCCAATTTTTAAACATTTTGGATTTAAAAATATAATAAGTATTAATTAATTTATAAGTCTACACCTCACACTACTGGTCTATATAATCTATACAATTGATGATGTTACGGTGTATGTATTGCATACACTGTACTCAATTACTATTTTCAGTTCTGTTCTCAAATAGATAAAATGTTTACACAAATATGTTAGTAATAGTCTTATACTTTAGTAATAATTCGTGTCTAGATGCCATATAATCAAGCATATAATATTATCACTGTATGCCATAAGTTTCCAAGGACAATCAATTTAAGTAAGTATTAACGACAAAATTTTGAAAATAAAAATACTTATATTGAAACACTGTGAGACTCCCAAATACACTTATTGTGATAAGTAAACAAACTTTATGATAGTAAATATAGGTGAAATTCTTGAACGAAACGATCTAATTAGTGAAAATATTCAAATTTCTTGGAGGATCCTTTTTGGAACGATGTTGAACATTTCAGTTTTCTCATAAGAAAAAAACTTTAATGTTTAAAGTTTTTCATGAGTAGAATCGAATGGGAAAGTAAAATTTACAAAATCACAATTCTTGGAGTCGATTTTGGTGTCATGAATGTGAAGATGTCGAAATGTTGATTTTTCCCATGAAAAGGTCCCACACAGTGGAACCGGTCAAAAGGAATCGAGTGATACACCATTGGAAAGGTATTTGAACGTAGAATAAGATGGGATCATCAAATTTGAGATCCAAATATCCTCCGAAGTGATTTTGGTGACATGAATATGAGAAAATTGAAATGTTCAACATCGTTCCAAAAAGGACCCTCCAAGAAAATTCCATGGACCCGATCGAACAATTGGCGCCTTTTGAAAGGTGCCCGCACCATTTCTGCGCCTTTTAATGAAATGACGAGAAAAAGAATAAACAACACATCGTATGGTCTCAGCATTTTAGCATACAACAAATCGAATGAATTACTATGCTGTTTTTCGTACACGCTGTTTATATACGAGTCATACGATGTGTTGTTTATTCTTTTTCTCGTCATTTCATTAAAAGGCGCAGAAATAGTGCGTGCGCCTTTCAAAAGGCGCCAATTGTTCGAACGGGGAGTTAAAAAAAATATGACGTTCTATATATCGTTGGAAAGGTAATTAACATCCGATTATGTATAAACAATTTTATAATATCCGTGAAAGGCAAAAAATGGGCATTTCATACACCATTCGAAGGTCACCTGAACAAACTTAAAATTATTTTTTAAACTTAAAACACCTTTATAGGATAGATATCATCATTTTGCATCGGTTATGCATAGGGCCGATTTAATTTTCCAAAATGTCCCAAAAATGAAGCACCTAATGTCCACTTATATATAATGTTCTCTAATAGTTTCATATTTAGAATAGCTTTTCAGAAAGATGTTTTCCTCCTTTTCTCAAAAATAATGAACAATTTTCTCTCATTTTTCTTTTAGTTTTTTTCGGTTTTTCTTTTATTTATGAAATATTTAAAACATTTTTATTTATATTGAAAGAAATGTATGTAATCGAAGAAAAAAATATTATAAAGAAAATAATATTGAATATAAAGTGAAAATGATTAAAGTATATACTTATTCTATGCTTGCAATTTTTTGAGTTGATCTTTGTGCCCTTCTTTTTTTTCTTATTGCATTTTGATCACTCTTACTTTCTACTAAATAAAAAACCCACTAATCGTTTCATATTTAGCATAACACCGTACATATTCGTAAATTGAATAAGAAATGAACTGGGTTACATCTTATTAGTTATAGACAAAAACTTTATTTTGATAATAATTGACATATTTTGACAGTGAATATAATGACGCTAACGATATATTGTGATAGTATTGATAATATTGATACTACAATATGAATAGTGTTCTATTGGTACATTTCAATTTTGTGAATTAAAAAATTTGTTGTTTATTTTAATGTTTTTCGACAAATTTGGAGTTCTACTAGACTCCTATTTTGATACTTTGATCATTTTATTCATTGTAATTTTGGTGAAAATCCAATTTCTGTTGAAATCTTTTATCGTCCACGATGAAGTTATTTATATTTGTAACACTTTCCTTAATCTCTTTCATGTCCCTTTCATAGACGTCTGCTTGTTGAAATCTATTTAAGATATGACCGAAGTACGGTCCATCAAACCAATCCAATTGCTAAGAAGTAGAAAAATGTTTAAAAAAACATTCGACAGTTTGAATTTGAAATAAATTACAATGAATTTCTTGAGTCCGCACACCGTAAAGCAGTCCCATAACAAGGTATTTGTTTTATTGAAAAGTTGTCCAACACGAATCGACTCTCTATTCAAATTTGGTTTCATCGATGGCAGAAATTTACGTTTTTCCAAAAAGTCATATTGAGTTTTCAATATTGCATTTGCTTGTAAGTGATCAATTTCCTGTGTCTGATTTTTTTTAAAGATGGTTAAAAAGTAAATAATTCAATCAAGGATAAATAATACCTTATTGTGCAGGAAAAATATAGCCAAAACTGTTAGAACATATTCCACTGGAATTTTCTTCAAAAAAAACTTGAGTTGTGCATCTATTCCGATGCTCCAAAGAAGCAAATTCCACTTGACATCGTCGTTAAGACTTGGTTCAAGAATCAGATTTTCAAATTTCACGTCATCTGCAAGACACGCCCTTCTTGATTAGTACATAATGTGAAATATAGAATTTTTAATTTTTGCGCCCAAGTTTGCGAAATATATTTTGAAATTGGTTAAATTGTAGTGCATAAATAAATAGGATACCATTTGGATAAATCGGTTGATGGATCTTTCGCAGGTATTTTTCTTTCATTGAATATTTCGAAACAATTTTCAATTTTGGGTCGCTTTTAGATTTGTCCTTTAGTATAATTCCACCCAATTTACAAAAAACAGTTAAAAGCTCGTTGAAATAAGGTTGGTTAGTTTGATGGTTCCTTATGTTAAAATCGAGAAAGTTAACTTCATATTGAAACACTGCATCGTTTCGAAAAGCGTATATCAAAACATTCGATGAGCAATATTTATCGAATGGATCGATATCGGTTGTGTTGAAATTTATATCGTATGACTTGATGCTTTTGATGATACAATCTCTTGCATCATTTGCCCGAACGTACATAGATTCGCGCATGTATTTTTCGATTTTTTTGAAAATCTCTTCATCGGAATGTTCTGGATTTAGAGAAGCACAAAATTGTGCAATTTTTTTAAAATTAATGTATTTTTGATTGATTATAGATTTAGTACAATCATTTCCGGCAATTGTTGCAACGTATTTCATTTGCCTATCATCTGTCAGATGAAGAAAACGGCGTAGTTTACGTGGATCATAGGCATTGGCTTGCATTCTTTCCATATCAATAAATTTTATGTCCCACCATTCAGCGTTTCCTTCGTAGATTAGGAAATCACAATCGCTTGCGACAATTGCTAATGCTTTATTTTCAGCAGCATATTTTGCAATTGATGAATCACACTCTACTTGAGTTGAAATCAAAACATCACCATAATTCTTATCTTCAATTAGTTTTGTAAGACTTTTCGAAAGGGTTTTACATCCAAATCTTTTTGGTTTTCGTTGATTTGCATTCGAAGAATTTCCAATGAGCGACATTGCATCATGAAACTCATTATCACGTCGACTGCACCATATATCATTTCTATCTGGTTGCAATTGGCCGTCACAGAAAAATACTAGTGTTGCTCCAGCTTTTTTGAGTTCATCCACGAATTTTTCGAATACACGGAGATAACTATGCTGTCGTCCTCCCAAATTTAATTCATCTGTACAGGATCCAAATAGATGCACAAAACCCATTACATCGAATATTATAATGGCATTCGCATTTTCTCTAGGATTTAAGAATTTTGAATTTCAAATTAAATGAAGCAATCTTAATATTTGTATTCTGATTTAAATTACCGAATCTTTTCACAAATATTTATGGAACTGTATAGTTTGTTATCTTCAACAAATCTAGTCAAATATTGAACTCCCATTTTTAATGATTATACGGAAAAACACTTTTATTCGGTTAAAAATTAAAACTGAAATGAAATGAAAATCGCTACAGAAATTGAACTTATACATTGAATAAATTACGACGGAATAAATGCAATGATAAAAGTTGAGCTGTTTTCTTATCATAAATATTTGCATTGGTTCAATGGTTGAACTTCAACCAACTTGGTTGTATTTATAAAGATTACAATTGTATACGATAAATTTGGACATTCATTTGCGCCTAAAGATAGACACGCGGGCTCATTTCTGCACCTATATATGTGGCTCTATGTAAAAAAAATATTGCTTACTATGCAGCGCTTATGATTTAAAATTGCATTCAAACCATACCACAACTGTATGAAATTTTTCGCGCACCGTATATGCGAATAATTTCATACGTTTCACAAGTTATTTTAATATGTGTGTACGTTCGGCGTTCAACATACAATACATTCATACAGCATGCGTTGATGAAAACATATGCACATACCGAGACAATGCAATAAACGAATATGCGAATTGTATATTGATCAGAGCATTTACGGTAGCGCACATGAAATCCATGCGTACGCTGTTTAGATTGCATTCAGTGTCAGGTCACTGTGGTAAACAAACACTTGTTCTGTTGAATAAAAAAATAAATCAAAGTTCATCGGTCATAATGGATAAAAATAGTTTAAAGAAAAAAAATAGTGGGAATCAATCTAGTTTGAAATATATAGAAAAAAAATCCGCCGTTGAAAAAGATGACAATGGTAAGATAAAAATTTCTTTGATTTCGTGAAAAATAAAATAACGGAATGATTGATTTTCCATATAAATCGGCTCAAAAATGAAGTTTGCCTC